TGTTTAGAATTAATATCTCTATTAGATAGCCTCGCCTCGGTTTCTCGTCTTTGATTGTTACGTCGAGTCTGTTACTATAATTGTTTCATCCGTGTGTATTGTACAATCCTAATAGAGTTCGTGTTCTTTGTTTTCAAATACTGTCTCATATGTCTTAGTTAAAAATGTTAACTAAAATTTTTAATTACGACGAAATTGTGGTACAGAATATAAATTAATTGTTCACTTGCTCCAATGTTTTATATTATCGATCACATTATAACGAGCGCTATCAGTTAATAACTATTTATCTGTACACATACTATCTGAAAGCTATTTGATACACGATTAGAATTTTATCACTTCTAAATACTTATTGATGAATGATCGCGAATATTCTGTATACTGACATATCAGATTGAGCGAATTATTTATCTTAATCATAGCTCTTAAACTCAAGTTACACTTAATAATAATGTAGCTTACAATGAAAGAACACTCCAAGGCACGAGTAGCGTATCTAACGACCACTACTTAATTTCTTTTGTTTTTGTTCAAATCAGGGAACAGTGTGCAATCTAATTCGTTTTGTATTGTCTTGTATCAGAAAATATAATACCAATGTTAAATCAATTTATTACGTTATTTTTTTTTTTATTTAACGATTTTATCCACTATAATGTACAAATTAAAATAATATATATCTTTCTGACATTGGTTATATAGAAATAACGTACAACTACTATTTATACAATATATGTATGAATAATATTTATTAAAAAACAATTTTTCTTTGAATCAACATGCTTTATCTTCTTCTTGCTATAAAATTGCATACAATTTCTACTATAATTATATTTGATTTCAATTTAATTTAATCATTTACTATTTATTTTTTTATTCGTTTACTATTTATTTATTTAGCGAGAAAGATATAATAGTTTTACTTTGAAAAATATTTCAAACTCAAACGGCTCCAGAAAGATTAAAAAATATTTATGCAACTAACACCACTATGAATATAAAGACTAAAATTAAATCTTTGAAAACATTTACGCCATGTTATTCTAATAATAACTACCCATTTTTAGTGCATCTTATTTTCTGAAATTTTTTGAGACTTTTATTGACACACAAAAATGATCAATTTTACAGTATTCCTTTTCTTTTCTTGTTTTCCATGCATCAGTACATCTTATTTTCTGAAATTTTTATTGACATACATAAATGATTAATTTTATATACATTGACATACATAAATGATTAATTTTACAATATTCTTTTTCTTTATATATCTATACATACAGGGTGTTCGGCCACCTCTAGCAAAAATTTTAATGAGCGATAGTAGAGGCCAAAATAAGACGAAAATCAAGAATACTAATTTGTTGATGGAAGCTTCGTTAAAAAGTTATTAACAATTAAATTCAAAAATTTCAAATCGTTCTGGAAAAATTATTTTCGGTTGCGGGGGTCAACTACAATCATTTTTGGTGAGTACACATACCTCCGAAATCCTATCTACTTTCGAGAAAAAAAATCGAGTAGGTGCTGAAATTTTTCGGCGAAAAAAAATTTTTCAAATCGTTTTAAAAAAATTATTTTCGGTTGCGGGGATCAATTGCAATCATTTTTTATCATTACACATACCTCCGAAATCATACGCACTTTCGAGAAAAAAATTCCTTACTGAAAATCCAATTAGGTGCCTAAATTTTTCAACGGAGAAAAAAAATTGCAAATCGTTGTGGAAAAATTATTTTCGGTTGCGGGGGTCAATTACAATCAGTTTTTGTCATTAGACATACCCACGAAATCCTGCCCACTTTCGAGAAAAAAAATAGAGAAGGTGTGAAATTATTCGAGAAAATTAAAAAATTGCAAATCGTTGTGGAAAAATTATTTTCGGTTGTAGGGTTTAATTACAGTCATTTTTGGTGAATAGACATACCCCCGAAATCTTGCGCATTTTCGAGAAAAAAATTCAGTAAGAGCGGCACTTTAAACGTTAATAATTTTTTAACGAAGCTTCCACCAACAAATTAGTATTCTTGATTTTCGTCTTATTTTGGCCTCTACTATCGCTCATTATAATTTTTGCTAGAGGTGGCCGAACACCCTGTATAGTGATATCTAAACACTTTTACGTACAGATTATATAAATAATTTTATATATTTACGGAAATTCAAGATATTGCTATAGTCAATTTTTACTATCCATTTAAAAATTAACTTTTTTCTATTATTAAATAACTTTTTTCATATTATAAAATCATTTCATAAGAATACGAATCGATTCAATTTAAGGAATTAATTTGAGAAATCAACATTTTTTATAATAATGCTTCGAAAAGGGATGATTTTTTTGTAATATCAGTATTTTGCACTGAAAATCATACGTACGGTTCATTGTCAGTCGTGTTGTTGATGCAGAAACTAGAAAAGGAAAAACTAAAGGAAATTAGATTCGTTGAAAATTGCAACTGTTTCCACGCTGCGCGTGGCAGATTTTGAAAGCAAACAATTGCATTACAATTGCAATAATCCGCGTAATTGTTACCACGTAGGTTAAAACTTGTATCACCTTTCGTGAAGCATGTTATGAAATACTGATGAGCCAGCGAAATTTTTATGCAACGCTATTTTCACACTTTTACTTTTGGTATCGAGGCTTACATGCCTGTAGCCGGGTCTAAAATAATTATCAATCAACTGTGAGTTACAAAAACGTTCTAAACATTCTTCTTTCTAAATTATAGACTTTTTTTTAATTTACCTAACACAAACAGTAGGTTTTATATTCGTAAAAAAATGACTAAATAAATGAGAAAAATATTTTTAATTATATGTTGTGGTTGAATTTAATTTTTCTACTGTAATTAAATTTTAAATGAATTTTTCTCGAAACAGTACCAAATATTACACAATGTTATTTCGCGTGATCGTTTCGCATAGAATGGCGCGTTGAAATTTCCGTATTGTTATATCATTAATTCTGTTGCAAAAGGGAAAATCCTGCGTAAAGATGACACAATGTAAGATTAAAGTATAATGATAGGAGAAGAGTATGAACGAAGAACATTTTTTTTATTTATAAAGAGAGCTATATCAGTGTTTGAAAAAAAAAATGAGACGAGTTAGAATAATGATTATCCAAATCATAGTTGGTTTTTGATTTTTGTTCAAAACGAGCAAACAAGAAGAAAAAACAAAATTAATATTATACAGGGTGTCCCAGCTAAAGTGTGACAGTCGCGATACTGCAATAACTATTGATGATACGGAAAAATTGTTTATATGAAAATTGCAGGATAAAATAGGATCTTTATTCTGGCGTAAACGGAAATTTTATTTATGTTATTAATTTCAAAGATACGATGATGAAGTTTCGTTTTTTAAATGGAACTATATATTTTTTTTTTGATCATGCGATAGTGTTTTTTAATACGAATTCATTAACCTGCAATTTATTTACCCGATTTTCATTAGTTTTCAAGATATAACGCTTGGAAATTTACTGATTTTCGGCGAAGACGTCTCGGCTTGAGTGGCAAGTCATAAAAGCGGCCCTATTGTTGCGCTGTTTGACTCCGCCTGTTGAAACCGATAGCAAGGGTCTACGCTCGGAACGGCAGGCCCGAAGAGTCAGAAACATGAAAAGTATTGTCCATCACGATTTAAGCATTATGCATACGCGAAGAATTTACAATTACTATTAGACCTAAGTAAAGAAACATTATCTTACCTGTGCGAAGAAGAATTAAATTGGCGCTTTAACTGTCTGTGTAAACGACTAAATCAATTACGTTTGCACTCATAATCCAATACCGTTTACAGTTAGTCGCTCTTTAACGGTCTGTCAATCCGTACGTATTCGTCATAAATATTCGTAAAGTGTACAATTTCTCAAAAGTGTTCGTAAACTTTTCCCTCTACCAAAACAATGAACACATATTTAAAACGCATTTAAAACATAAGAGTCAAACTGTGAATGCGTTATAAAAAGGGTCTAGTTCCCATATTTGAATTATTACAGTGTTTCGGTGTTATTTTTATTGGAAAATTTATTCGACAGTCGGTGTTAATAAACAGTTGAATCGTCGTACTTTATGGTTTAACCATATTTTATCAGACCAGTAGTTTAAGCGTTACTTCTGAGATATAAATTAAGAATAAAAATAGTTCTATCAATGTTACTGATAGATACAAAGGGAATCCCCTAATCAACTGAAACTTGAGCTTTGTGAGGTTGGTACTTCCGGCCATAGTCATTTTTTTTTAAACTCAGGCCAGGTACTTCTGGGACCACCCTCGTAATCTTACAGTAACTAGTATTAACAACCGCAAAACATTATAAAGCAACAGAAACATTGTAATGGATTTGGAGAACTTTTACCTTCGATAACTTCCTAACGAATAAGTTTAGGGCATAAGTATGTCAGTACTTTTATGTAGAGAATAAGAAACTACATCGACTGGTGCAGTCAAAAATGTAGGTTTCCATTGAAAAAAAAAGTGCAGTTGCAGTTTTTCGATGCATCGATGCACAAAAGTGCATCAAATTAGTTGCATATTACGCATGGTCTGATACCATTTAACTTTGACTGGTAACATATTTTTCTATTCCCAACCGTTTAGGAGGTATAGCCTGTTCCAGTTGCGTATACATTGACTTCATAATATGGAAATAACTAATTTTTGATCGAATATCTTTCATCATTAAATAAAGATTTAACTTACTTCTATGATGCTTTTATTCCTGCTATTCATAAAGGGTAACAAAAATTTAACATGATACTATTTCTATGATGCAAATAAAGTTCCTTGAAAAAATTCAAGCAACAGCAGCGAAGGTGAAGGTGTAGAATATCGAAATCCTTGAATTTATTATTACGGTATTCTGCTCGATAAAAAGCATGATAAATTGGGGGAAAAAGTCCAACGAGAACAATCTCCGGAAGACAATGGGGGAAAAAGATGTAACGGTATAACGAATTGATCCGTGTATTGTGATTTTTCAGGGTCGTGACGAGCGAGAATACATACTACTAGGCAATGGACTTAATCTGATAAGTGGCGCTCGCACAACTTCCCCCGATCGTCGCCACGAAATCGAAAGACTGGCAAACTTTCTTTCCTATCGGCTCTATATTCTCTACGAAGCATGTCAAAGTACAACATTCAAGAATTCGACCTCGAAACGGGGAAGCAAGTTCGATTAACCGGTTACACTAATGCCGCTTTCGAAAATCCACTTCGGAGCAATAACAATAATCCTGATCAGGTCGCTGACCCCGAGAACAGGCTGGGCAGCGTCCATGTTTGCAGCAAGGATAACAAAACTATGAACAACGATGGTAAGTTTGCATTGTTCCGTCAAAAAAAAACACTTTACTAATATTAAGTGTCCTTTTTTCTGTAAAAGTTTCGAAAAATCGAATTCTTTGCTTTTACACTCATGTGTTCGCTACAACTAGCGACAACATGTGCCGTTAGAAGCGCCCTCTGCAAAAACGCCATTTTCCAACACTATACATATAAAGTGTGCCTGGAAAATGCATAAAATTAACAAAATTGCTTGACTCGAGACCTGCTTAAATTTTAAACACGTTTTGCTTGGTTCCAAGTTTTTAAAAATGGTGTGCACATCCTCGATATTATTAAAGAAAACGCTTTTTATGCGGATATCGAAGCTAATACGAAGGATGTTTGTTCACCCTTAAAAACATCGAAGAATAGTCGTTGAATTGAAATTTTGTCTTTCGAGTAATAGCATTTTGTTCGTGCCCATAACACGTCTATTCACAAAAAATGCTTGTAATTTACCCCTCTAACTAAATATAATTTTTTTAGTTTGATTTGAAATTTTTTAATTTCGTCTAAAAGTGTCGGTACCTACTCGAACTTTTCCCCCGAAAGTGGGTAGGATTTCAGGGGATATGTGTATTCACAAAAAATGCTTGTAATTGACCCCTCTAACTAAATATAATTTTTTTAGTATGATTTGACATTTTTTTAATTTCGTCTAAAAGTGTCAGTACCTACTCGAATTTTTTTCTCGAAAGTGGGTAGGATTTCGAGGCTATGTCTAATGACCAAAAATGATTGTAATTGACCCCCGCAACCAAAAATAATTTTTTCAGAATGATTAGAAATTTTTTAATTTAATTATTTAATAGCTTTTAAAATTTTCCCCAAGGTTGGCCGAACACCCTATATAAAAATAGCGAAAATTTCATTACGTGCAACAACTTAATGTTTAGTTCTGTAAAAAGCTGGTAAAACCAAATTTTCATTGAATAAAAACCGTTGTAAATAGATCGCTGAATAATGAATGTAAATAAGATACGATGACTGTGAAATGTAATTTAATGAGTCGTGCAAACAGGTAATCGAAGTTTCTTACGGCTCGACGTAATTCAGGTAATACCCGTATTATATTTGCAATACCAACGAATGATCTCAGATTCTTAATGTGTTTGACGATAATCTGATCGATCGACTGCATCCATTTAACCGATATTACGGATTATGGTATTACCGTTTGTGAAGAGATAAATCAACTTTCGACATATTTCATACTTATACTATCAATCAATAAAAGATGCTTAATCTTGATGAATTATTTATCCGACACTCGTTAGCTGTTTGTGTTACAACTCTAATTATGTTGATGTTGTTCGTCACAAGTGTATTTCAGAATATTTTTTTAAGCATCAAACTACAAATATAGATATCGATATCGAAGTAAGTTAATAAATAATAAAATGGAAGAAACGTCCTAGTTGATCCGTTTCGATGAAGAAGAAGTCCTATTTTATGGTCCAGAAATAGATCAAACATTTAGATCGATTTTTCAGCTTTAAATATCGTGAAATTTAATCAAGAAAAAAAAAAAGAATACTCGTAACTAGACTGCAGATCTTTATGCAAATTCATATTTTTGTCGATAGAGGTAATGAAATGGGAACTTAAATATAATAATTCGTATCTTACTCTAAGTATTTCTTGTATTTTTGCATATTAAGTGCATTCTGTAGTATTTTAAAGATTAAAATTTCCTACAAACGCATAAACATCCGCAGTCTAATCATAACGCATACGTTAAGTAGCCATCAGTAGCAAAGCAGATAGGAATGATGTAGTAACACAAAAATAAATTTTTCATATTACTGCACGAGATTATAAAAATGAGGAAAACGTCGGAATGTTATGAAACTAAAAAATGTTGTTGCTCGTATTTATCATCCTGTTGGCATTGCAGCGCGAAATTACCTTGAACGTCAATTGCCAAGACAGGAACAGTCCAAAGTCCACAGCTTTTTTAAGCTTTAATATTCATAAATGTTAGAAACTGATTCTAATCACGACCGATTGAAGTTGGTTCCGCTATAAATATTTAAATGTACGTTCAGTTATCTTTTTCAGTTGAGAGTTACTCTCTTTTGAATAAACATTGCAATCTGGAGTCTAAAATCTACAATATCAGGTACCTACAATAATCTTCAATAATTAAAGTATCGTCACTCTTTTTTTTTATATAATTATAGTTACTGTCAAAAAAAAAAAGAAAGAAAAATCGAGGAATCGTTAAAGTAAATAATTACCAGCTTTACTTTCGGGATAATTGAGTAAATCAACGAGTAACAATTAAAAATCTATTATCCTTTGTTTTATATTAAATGAAAGACAAAATTTTAATAAATTACGATATATGTACATATGAAAGAAAAATATATCAAAATTAGAGCTATCTTATCATTGTAAACAATTATTATTTACAAAAAAAGTATCGTCCTGTGATCAAAGAGTCTACACATTGACTACATTGTTCATAGAAACTGGAAGCAAAGAATTAAAAATATCACCAGTTTATACAAATTTAATGATGTAAACAGAAGCGAGAAACAACATTTTTGTGACCGACTGTGCATTGCTTGATAACTTGACACAGAGCATGTAAAGAAAAAACCAAGAAAAAAAATGTATATGACCGTTGATGTGATTTCAGTTGCACAGAATCCAGAGAGGAATTTATTGTGTTCGCTGGGAAGGAGATGGCTGTACCAACGGATCAAAAGGTCCTGCAGGAAAAAATTGCTGTACAAAAGGATACCTATTGTGGCGTGGTTGCAAATGTATCGCAAGGATTATATAGCAAGCGATCTGGTTGCCGGTATTACCGTAGGCCTTACCGTTATACCACAAGCAATAGCATATGCGAATGTTGCAGGACTTCCTTTACAGGTAGGGACATTAACGTTCGTTCACCTTTGGAAAATATTTCTTAAACCAGTTTTGTTGTTTTAGAACGAAATGTTGTTTGTCGTCTTCGTTCAATGTAAAAAAAAAAATACTTCGACGCGTCTGTTTGCTTCGAGCAAGTAAAAAATCATCAATTTATTATGCGCGAAACGGGTACGCGCAAATAACAGTTGGTCCCCAGACTTTGCACATTTTATTCACGTATAGAAACCTTAAATGACGTACACACCAGCAGCCCAAAGTGCGAAACCATTTCACTTGTTGTTACTTTCTATTTGTACCGGCCACCAACGAACCTTCGCGTTCCATTTGCCTAGAATTCTGATGATGTAGACTCCCTGAATTTTGAAAAGCCGTTTTCTACGTGTCATGGACGAAAACACCATTTTACTAGCATTTCAAACTTGTCGAAGCAACGAACAAAATTCAATCTCTGATAATCGAGTCTGGAAATATTCTTGGTTAAGGTTTGTTATTTTAACAAACTATTAAAAACTAATTTTATTTAAAATAAGTAAATTAATTATTTATTAAAATAGTAAAATAAAATTACAGATTATCTATTGTCTTTTTGCATAAAATATTCTTCGTAACGATATCTAAATCAAGGGTTATCGAAATTAGTTGGTATTTTGCAATTGAACTACGATACACTTTTGACTGTAAGCAATTTCCCTTTGGAAAATGAGTTCGAGATTTTATTTGTGTTTGATATCGATAAAAAGCTTGTAAGAGCCTCGAGAATACAATCTCAACTCTTTGCAATCAGTCGCCATTTTGTTTGACTCAGAAACTTTAACGACGAGTCTGTAATACGACAATAACTATTTATTAGTTATTTATAGTTATCTTTTTTATTGGAAAAACAGCATGATTAGTGGCAACTATTTAAGAATTGAAAACTATATAACCTAAAAATATAACAGTATTATCGAATAATTAATTTAATTAATATAATTTATTTCTGGTAACTGTAAAAAATTGTATCAACTTTTCATAAAAACTGTTTCTGCTAGTCCCTTACTTTAGAGAGAAAAGTACAGATTGCAAAGGTTTGATAGTGATTGTCTTTTACAACGTTTACTTGTAGAGAAGAGCATTGCAAAGAAGAAATTATGTACGTTTTTCGATCCATCTTGTACGCGAATTTTACAGTTAGTGAAAGCGTAGAAGACTATTATGCAATGGCGATCGAAAACGTACTGTAATTTCAGTTTTTTTAATTCGACCACGTATCTACTTTTACTCTACAATAACGAAACGCTTACCGTACTAAATAAAGAATCGGTCGAAGCTTCGTAGACAATGACAAAGTGTTTTTTTAATTTTTTATCAACTGAATTTGTAATTTTACATTTAACTGATTAATTTATTTTACTACTTTTACGAAGCATTTCATGTAATCTGTAAAATGTAATCGTAGTTGATTCTATACCATAATGAACATTTATAGGAACCGTAAATTACCTGTGTGGTTGAAAAATTAATTTTCATGCTCATATTAGAAACGTTAGGCTGGCAAATAATTACGTGGCAATAAATTATGATCATAAAACGAACATGAAACGTCCACTTTCGAACCAGGTGTAGCTCATTATTACAAATACCATCTCGTCTGCAATAACAGACGACAATAAATCAAAAAATTGTATACTTTCGGCCATTACAAGCATCGTATTATCCACCACTGAAATTTCAAGACGACATTACTGTTTTCTCCGGATTAAGGAACTCTAAATCTTTTCAAAATTCATAGAATCCTAGAACCTTCAAAAAACAAACGAAATTTAAAATCATAAAACTTAACAAAAAGAGGGCCTTTATCTTAAATCACAAATTGTTCTCATGAACAAAAAATCTACATTAATGTTATTAAAATTCGAACAAAAAGACATTGGTAATTTAAATTTCATTGATCTCATTTATTCAGATTTGAAAGAATTTCATTGTATATCATTTCAAGATATTGCTATAATCAATTTATAATATCCACTTAAAAATTGAATTTTCTCTATTATTAAATAGCTTTTTTGGATCATATCAGACTATTTCATAAGAATTTCATTGTATATCATTTCAAGATATTGCTATAATCAATTTAAATTTATTAATTTAATATCTATGGTTATTTATAAATATATTATTGAGTTTAATGATCACCATTGTAACAAGATTGTTCAAAATTTTTTTAATCGAAACCAAGGTAATACAGGAATCTGTGTTTTACTTTGCAGTACGGTTTATATTCTTCTTTTATGGCGTGCTTTGTATACACCATCCTAGGATCGTGCAAAGATGTACCGGTTGGACCAACAGCGATTATTGCAATCTTGACTAGGGAAACGTTGCAGAAATCTGACTTGGGGCCTGACTTTGCGGTCCTCTTAACCTTCTTATCCGGCTGTGTGTGTTTGCTGATGGGGATTCTACAATTAGGTGATAAAACAATAAATTAATTTATGTAAATTAGTAATTAAGTTAATATTATTACAATGAAAAAATTTTAATGGGAGATTCTGGAGGCCAAAATAAAACGAAAATCAAGAATACCAATTTTTTGATGGAGGCTTCGTTTAAAAGTTATTAACGTTTAAAGTTCAAAGCGCGCAGCTGTTCGCAGAGCGCCGTTCCACAGGCGAAACTTTAAACGTTAATAACTTTTTAACGCAGTCTCAATCAAAAAATTGGCATTCTTGATTTCCGACTCATTTTGACCTCCAGAATCTCCCATTTAAATTTTATAAAAATCATCGAACTATTAATATAAATTAACGTTTGCTTGTTCTTTTTTTATCAGGTTTCCTGTTGGACTTCATATCAGGACCGGTATCGGTCGGTTTCACGTCAGCAGCGGCGATTATTATCGCGACGAGCCAAGTAAAAGACATTCTAGGAATTAATATCAGCGGTAGCAAGTTCGTCGAAGTGTGGCAGAAGATATTTGAAAAGATCGGGGAAACAAAGCTTTGGGACACCGCGTTAGGCATCACGTGCATAATCGTTCTTCTTCTCCTCAGAGTGAGTACAAAAATATAATTCTCATAGATCAGAGAACGAAATGGGGAATTAAGTATCGGAACAAGATCGATTCTGTATCAAAGTTTATTACAGGGATTAGGTTCACTTTAACCTTTGTTTTTAAATCATTTTTTTGTTTAAAAAAATTTTTGACACAAATCGACAATTCGTCAAATCGTCTTGGTCGTAAATTGTCCTCTTGTAGCTACAAATGTACAAATATTACATAGTTACAATTGAGGATGTCCGGTTCTTGCAAGAAGAATCGATTCTTAAATCCATTCTAAATCGATGCAGCATGAAATCGAACTCCGAAGAATCGATCTATTGAAAATCGATTATTATTGATTATTATGAAATCGTTCAAGGTACCACTTCAAAGTAACTATCTATTACTATTGAAATATTAATGGGTCATCGTGTTTCATATAAACTTCGAAACCTTCAAATCTTGCATATTTATAATTTATAATATAAATATAACAAATAAAACAATTTGATTCGAGTTTGACATGCTTTAAAATATTATCCATGGAAATTGAATTAAGTTAAAAAATAAAAATGCTTTTTCACGCTTATTTGTTTGCAGAAAATCAAAGATATATCGGTAATCCATAAAGCTACAAAAGTACCGTCGAAGGTACAGGTGATCATGCAAAAATCTCTCTGGCTGCTTTCTACGTCCCGAAATATCCTCGTGGTCCTTGTCTGCGCGGTTATGAGCTGGCTTTTAGAAAGTCATTTAGGTTCCTCGCCGGTCAAACTGACGGGCCATGTTAAACAAGGACTTCCGGAATTTCAGCCACCGCCGTTTCAAACCTACCACAGAAATGAAACTTACGGGTTCGTCGATATGGTCTCTGCTCTAGGTTCTGGATGTCTAGTCATTCCTCTGTTGAGTCTCTTGGAAACCATTTCTATCGCCAAAGTCTTCAGTAAGTTTTGAAACACTTTTTACACCCTACTTTCCAGAAGACCTGATACACAAATGGTTGCAAGATATTTCTTCAACTGTTTTTATTTTTTTAACAGCCAAAACGAACGATTCAAATAACACGACTGATAAAAATGTCATTAAACTTGACCCATTGGTATAACAGTATTAGTATACAAAATTTTCGTATCGTAGAACACTAATTTACCATTCAGATTTCAAAATCTTTCAAAATCATGCAACTATAGATTATTTAAATAACGTTTTACAATTACAAAGACTATATTGAAAAAAAGTTAAAAAGCTCAAGATTAATTTGAATCTTAAAAAGATTCAACGCATATACAGGATGGTCCACGCAATTGTTTCAAGTCCTAACTCCGTTATTATTGCATTTACGAAAAAATGCCAAAGGAGAAAGATAAATGGTTCGAAGAGCACTACATCTGTAGGCCTTTAAATTTTTTTCAGACGCAGTAGTGCATGTGCAATTAACAATTGCATCATTTCTTTCAATAGAAATGCATATTTTTTTTTTACACAGATCGATTCTTCTGTTCATTCTACGTAAAAAATGATTAGGATACCATGGCAAAAAAATTATTAGATCTCGAAATATTTTCAAAAAATATCTTTATTGAAGAAGCAATAATAACGGAGTTATGACTTGAAACAATTGCGTGGACCACCCTGTATACGCAGGAAACGAAAATCTACGAAAGATAAATATTTCTTAACGAAAATAGGCTTTCACCATTTTGTCAATTTGCAACATAAATTAATTATTTAGCTACGGTCGATAACTGTAAACCTACCGAATAAAAATCTCTTTGATTTTTTCGATTTAGTCAACCTTGAGAGCTGCAATTACCTACGCCAGTGTTTAAAAGTTACTAAAAATTAATAAAAAAATTATCTTGTATTCCCAAAGGATAGCTAAGTAAACTGCAAAAAAAGAATCGTAACGTCAGATGTAACATTTCCTAAAAAAAAATTAAGAAAAATGGTTCAATTTTCCCTCCCTTAAGTGGTTGGTCGCCGCATTTTTGTATCGAAATATTTGCGTATTCTCAAAGTGCTACGCCTAGATTTAGCGAGCAATTGTATGGCTGTTATTATGAATACTGTAAAAAGTCTGGAATTTATTGAGAATCGCGTGTTGGTAGATGAAGGTAAGCCAATCGACGCGACTCAAGAAATGCTGGCGTTGGGTGCATGCAACGTCCTGTCGGCTTTCGTTTCATCCATGCCTGTTAGCGGTGGCCTCAGCCGGGGAGCGGTGAACCATTCATCCGGAGTGAAGACTACACTCGGCGGTGTTTACACTGGTCTTCTAGTACTGGTTTCGCTTCAGTTCCTTACGCCGTACCTTTATTTTATTCCTAATGCCGCGCTCGCAGCAATCATCATCGCCGCGGTCATCTTCATGGTGGAACTACACGTAATCAAGCCCATATGGCGAACCAAAAGTACGTCCTTCCATCTACATTTTCTTCTTTATGGTACAGCGATTGGCAATCATTACCTGAATCATACTTAACGAACAATTATTATTACTACGAGAAGGTAGCAACTTTTTTTCTAATCAAACACTGGGGACAAATATTTCTCTCCTCAGGTACTTACAGATTAATATTAACTGAAGATGGAATATACAATATAAACGTGAGAATATTGAAGATTAAACGAAACAAATAAGTAACTTTTATTCAAATTACAGAATTAATATTAAACTTAAAAGTGGACAGTATAACGAGTATATGCAAAATCCTATAAACTCTTATATCTATGTATTCTTTTTAATTAAAAATGATATGTAAAATGTGTAAAAATGTTTGGCCTCTAATATCAACAAAAAAAAGAATCGTAATTGTATTTATTATAAGCACAATTACAACTGATATACAAGAATTTCGTAAACAATATTTTTGTCAGCGATACTTCTTGATACACTGGTAAAATTAAAGTTATTTATGAAAATTGAAATGTTAAAAAAAAAGGATTTGTTGAAGGATTTATTTCTTAATTAAAAATAATAGTAAAAAATTCTTTCCTAATTCTGCTGAATAGATGATGGTTCAGTGTTTGCCAAAGTGGACAGTATAACGAGTATATGCAAAATCCTATAAACTATTATATCTATGTATTCTTTTTAATTAAAAATGATATGTAAAATGTGTAAAAATGTTTGGCCTCTAATATCAACAAAAAAAAGAATCGTAATTGTATTTATTATAAGCACAATTACAACTGATATACAAGAATTTCGTAAACAATATTTTTGTCAGCGATACTTCTTGATACACTGGTAAAATTAAAGTTATTTATGAAAATTGAAATGTTAAAAAAAAAGGATTTGTTGAAGGATTTATTTCTTAATTAAAAATAATAGTAAAAAATTCTTTCCTAATTCTGCTGAATAGATGATGGTTCAGTGTTTGCCAAAGTGGACAGTATAACGAGTATATGCAAAATCCTATAAACTCTTATATCTATGTATTCTTTTTAATTAAAAATGATATGTAAAATGTGTAAAAATGTTTGGCCTCTAATATCAACAAAAAAAAGAATCGTAATTGTATTTATTATAAGCACAATTACAACTGATATACAAGAATTTCGTAAACAATATTTTTGTCAGTGATACTTCTTGATACACTGGTAAAATTAAAGTTATTTATGAAAATTGAAATGTTAAAAAAAAAGGATTTGTTGAAGGATTTATTTCTTAATTAAAAATAATAGTAAAAAATTCTTTCCTAATTCTGCTGAATAGATGATGGTTCAGTGTTTGCCAAAGTGGACAGTATAACGAGTATATGCAAAATCCTATAAACTCTTATATCTATGTATTCTTTTTAATTAAAAATGATATGTAAAATGTGTAAAAATGTTTGGCCTCTAATATCAACAAAAAAAAGAATCGTAATTGTATTTATTATAAGCACAATTACAACTGATATACAAGAATTTCGTAAACAATATTTTTGTCAGTGATACTTCTTGATACACTGGTAAAATTAAAGTTATTTATGAAAATTGAAATGTTAAAAAAAAAGGATTTGTTGAAGGATTTATTTCTTAATTAAAAATAATAGTAAAAAATTCTTTCCTAATTCTGCTGAATAGATGATGGTTCAGTGTTTGCCAAAGTGGACAGTATAACGAGTATATGCAAAATCCTATAAACTCTTACATCTATGTATTCTTTTTAATTAAAAATGATATGTAAAATGTGTAAAAATGTTTGGCCTCTAATATCAACAAAAAAAAGAATCGTAATTGTATTTATTATAAGCACAATTACAACTGATATACAAGAATTTCGTAAACAATATTTTTGTCAGCGATACTTCTTGATACATTGGTAAAATTAAAGTTATTTATGAAAATTGAAATGTTAAAAAAAAAGGATTTGTTGAAGGATTTATTTCTTAATTAAAAATAATAGTAAAAAATTCTTTCCTAATTCTGCTGAATAGATGATGGTTCAGTGTTTGCCAATCACTGCTATACTAGAGGTAAACAAACTATTGTGTGCAAGGTTTAAGGGTTGTTAGAACTCATTTTAAGAAACAAAGTTTTATTAAACATATGCAACAGTAGTTCTATAAATGTGATACACAAAAATATTATAATAACTGATAACATATGTTATTTCAGTGATGGTCAAGAGACACAAAAATAATGGCCAAAATTTAAATTTTCTTATTTGACTTTGTTTATAAAATATAGCTATCTTTATACTCCGGTTATGTATTGTTTTCCTTAATAGGAAATTAAAAAGTCAGTATTATGTAATTTCCTTGTCATGTTCTACGTCAGTGCTTCTACGTCCCCTGTCTACCACAGATAGAACTCCATTTATCTAAACCCCTCGGAGGATTCTCCCCAGTGCCTATTGATTTTTCGTTCTAATAACTGAAATTCACGTTCAATTAAGCGGTTTCAGTTGCAATACTTCGGTTAACTGACACTGAGTTAAATTTCATGTATATCAAGCTACTTGAAAAGGCAGACGCCAAATTAACGCTATATTTCTTTGCCATTGTTTGTTAATTTTTTTGCATCAGAAACAATGGCTTAATATTCAACTATTGTGTCCATTGTTTCTCGAGAAACGGCCGATGCAAAAAATTAATTCTTTGTCAAAAAATTAACGAAAAAATATAGCATTAATTTTCACACGTTACGAAACACGCTGTATGGATAATAATATGATATCGTTTGTGATAAAGACAATTGGCGCTGACATCACATCACGAGGATGCATGACTGAATTTAGCAAAGTTCTCCGTTCGTTTCGTAATCGTAAAAATTCCTAACCGTCTCGATATTATACAGGTAGCATATTTTTTTTATAAACAATGAGTTGATATAAATATACTAATTGTTGTACAGTTTGTATATTTTTACCTTTAAACATTGCATTTGTAGTTTATCCGTACCCTATACTTGTTAATTGTTATAAATAAGAGTTTTAATTGGTGCATATTTGTTAAATAAAAAAGTGTCAGAAATAGAACTACATACATGTAACTTTGTTCCATTTTTTTTCAGAAATTGATCTCGTACCAGCGGTAGCCACGTTTTTGTGCTGTCTTTTTATAAGGCTCGAACTAGGTATAGTAATTGGTATCGGTATAAATGTCTTATTCCTACTTTACGCTTCAGCAAGGCCGTCGTTACGAGTTCATAAAGATACGGTAAGAGAACTTTCATTTTAATACATATATGTATGTACATTGACTTGCTTAGCAATTAAGAATGGAAGTAAAAGTGTATCAATCACGTTTAAATACGAAACGAATAGAGATTTTCTACAATTTTTCTTAACTCGCGTCCAATATAATATTTTTTATTGCAGAGCGTAAACGGTTGTGAATATCTCGTCATAACACCCGACAGAAGCCTTGTATTTCCGAGTGTCGAGTACGTGCGAGCTGTAATTAGTAAACAGGGTACGAGGCAGGGAACTGCAGTACCGGTTGTCATAGATTCCACACACATTCAAGCAGCAGATTTTACTGCTGCGAAAGTACGTTTACACAATACGTTTAAAAACTGAAACTACAAAATTACGAATCTCACGAATGATATTAGCTATACTTTAATTATACATAAATTATTTAGGGCGTTAAGAATCTAACGGAGGATTTTTCTAAACGTGGACAGCCTTTAATCTTTCATAATTTAAAACCGAGCGTCATCGAAATTTTCAAGGGCGTGAAACCTTCAGGTTTAAGGTGTAGTTCCAACGAACTCGAGCTTAACGACTGCCTTAAAGGTAACTAAAATATCATTATTTATGATAACTAATGTTAAATAAAATCAATTTTATAATTACGTATTATTCGATGCGTTTACCCTGAAAATTCAGGGCATCGTGCATGTACAGGGTGAAAGGCATGCTTACTTAAAATATCTTGTAAATTGTGCTTGAGATCTAAAAAAGATTCGGAGATTTCGAAGCAAAGGGTATAGCCGAATAAGAGGGTCAAATGTGCCCTTGAACCAAATGTGACATACGATGGATCCATCGATAGAGCATCAAGAAAAAACGTCCTGTGCCAAATTTTAACCCTCTATCTTGTTTGGAAGGGTAGTTATTGAGAAAATTCGGATTAACAAATTTCTGCCTATTTCCCCTATTTATTCGAGTAAAAAAATTATGAAAAAAATCTGGTGCATTGTGGTTATTGAGATACGTGTTTGAGAATTTTTTCCGATTTTTCGATTCCAAATCCTAGGTGTGAAAAATTGAAAACGCAAAAAAACACAGAAAAATACGGATATCGTTTTGAAGCTTTCGAGGCACTAGATTTATATAATTACAGTAAATGCGTATTATCATTGGTTATCTCCCTGAATTTTTTCAGATTTTTTGGTAGGGTGCGCCGTAGTAGCAAAAGTGAAAAACCGATTTTTTCGACGTTTTTCGCGTGAAAAAGCATCTTATACTTTGAATTTTTGTATTCTCTTTAATAGATAACTATATTGTATGGTTTTAAACATTTCTATGTTGAGCAGAACAGTGTATACAAAAAGAAATGCAAAAATAAGTCGCGAAAAAAAAAAGTGCAATGCGCGATATATTGAGAAGTATCAACGGTATTTTTAAGAGCTGCGATGGTGCAGTAAGTAAGTTGCTTAACTGTAAGACTGCTGCAAACTTTTTGACACGCGTTCGCGTCCTGCTAAAGTACATTTTTTTTATTATATTAATTTTGTTTTTTTTTCAATTTCTAACTAAACGACAGTGAAAAACTTATTTGTTTATTAATATTCAAAAAATATTTTCACCTAAAATATAAGCTCATATTCTTTTTATTGAAGAATCTTCTTGCAGTAGGTACTGAAATTTTTGGACGAAATTAAACAATTTCCAATCATACTAAAAAAATTATATTTAGTTACAAGGATCGATTACAAGCATTTTAGGTGAATAGACATATCCCCGAAATCCTACGCGCTTTCGTGAAAATAATTCTTTACCGAAAATCTAATGTGAGGCTTCCTTGTTTAAAATGTCATAACTTCTGAACGTATTGAAGGATTTTAATGTTTGAAGCGGCAAATAACGCGTATTTTGGTGAAGAATATGTAGGCATTATAACAATACTGTAAAAGTTGTACCCTAATCCCGTAAAGTTAGAAAAACCCCATAAAAATGGTCCAATTTTCAAATTAGGCCATAACTCCTACAATAGCGAACATATTTCAATGAAAATTTTTTCTGAAGTAGAGCTCATCGGTGCCTATAAAAAAGTATTAGACATTTTTTCTGTAGAGCGTGAAACAAATTTATTAAAAATGAAAAACAATTTTTTAAGAAAAATCAACCAAGGGGTAGGTGTCTAAATTTTTCGACGAAAAAAAAATTTCAAATCGTTTTGAAAAAATTATTTCTAGCTAAGGGAGTCAATTACAATTATTTTTGGTGAATAGATATACCCCCGAAATCCTACACAGTTTCGAAACAAAATTCAAATAAACATATCGCGCATAGCACTTTTTTTTCGTGACTTATTTTTGCTTTTCTTCTTGTATACACTGTTCTGCACAACATAGAAATGTTTAAAACCATACAATATAGTTATCTATTAAAGAGAATACAAAAATTCAAAGTATAAGATGCTTTTTCACGCGAAAAACGTCGAAAAAATCGGTTTTTCACTTTTGCTACTACGGCGCACCCTACCAAAAAATCTGAACAAATTCAGGGAGATAACTAATGACAATACGCATTTACAGTAATTATATAAATCTAGTGTCTCGAAAGCTTCAAAACGATATCCGTATTTTTCTGTGTTTTTTTGCGTTTTCAATTTTTCACACCTAGGATTTGGAATCGAAAAATCGGAAAAAATTCTCAAACACGTATCTCAATAACCACAATGCACCAGATTTTTTTCATAATTTTTTTACTCGATTAAATAGGGGAAATAGGCAGAAATTTGTTAATCCGAATTTTCTCAATAACTACCCTTCCAAACAAGATAGAGGGTTAAAATTTGGCACAGGACGTTTTTTCTTGATGCTCTATCGATGGATCCATCGTATGTCACATTTGGTTCAAGGGCACATTTGACCCCCTTATTCGGCTATACCCTTTCACATTTTTATATGGTACAGCCTAGTTTTTATGACGGTACTCGATGAAACTCGATAAACATCGTAAGAGGGAAAGGGAATCCCCTAATCCCCTCCAGTGTTTAGGTTCTTGGCTCGACCATTTACCAAGTGTTAGGTTATAAATTTAGTTTGTAGGTAGTGCGTCATCATTACGTCTCCCAATGGTATACAGGGTGTCCCACGCAACTGGAACAGGCTATACTTCTTAAACGATTGTGAATAGAGAAATATGTTATAAGTCACAGTTGAATGGTATCAAACGATGCATAATATGCAACTAATTTATGCACTTTTTTTTTAAACAGAAACCTACATTTTTGACTGCACCAATCGATGTAGTTTCTTAAGCTCTACATAAAAGTACTATCATACTTATGCCCTAAACTTATTTGTTAGGAAGTTATCAGCGATAAAAGTTCTCTAAATTATGTTTCCATTTTTAAGAAAAGTGCAGTTTTTCGATGCATCAATGCACAGGAGTGCATAAAATTAGTTGCATATCATGCATCGTCCGATACCATTTAACTTTGACTCGTGACATATTTTTCTATTCCCAACCGTTTAGGAGGTATAGCCTGTTCCAGTTGCGTCGAACACCCTGTATAAACGCATACAAACAAAAGTCTCGTTTATTTCCAGAATTTTCAAACGTTCCGGCAGCTATTGCAAATAGGTATTGATAATGCTTAAGACATTCATGGAAATTCCGTCCTGCAACTACTCTTCTTATCTTGTAAGCATCGGTATTATATGTATATTAACATGAAGATGGACGACACTATAGAATATAATTATAGACAATACTACTGTAAGGAAAGTAACGTTTCTAGTAGTTATTTTAAGATATTGATTTGCTCCGACAAAACAGATATTTACGTGATATTTACTTCATCTGTAGACAGACGAATAAAATAAAAATGTGCTGACCGTTTAAACGTTATATTATCAGTATAATAAACCAATACCAAACCGATAATACACCAATATTGTATCGGAGGAGTTAATTTAAATATGTCTAAGAGTCTGAACAAAATCGGTTAATCCAATTAAATTAAATGTTCACGCTTTGGGTATAATGACCAATTGATTTTGTTAACACGTTATGTAAGCACGTCTTTCGCAGACTGCCGTCCATCAACTCTTATCGTCGTTCGCCTACACGTCATAAACAGTCGCTTCCAATGCTGAAAATCTTATATTTAGGTACTTCTCGTCTTTAATGAATTCTTAAAATGAGAACTCATTTCACTTAGATGCAATTTAACAAACATATTTTCTATTCCAAATAATTAATTATTTACATCGTAATCTTGTTTAATTTTCTACCGCGTAATTTTTAATTTTTAATAGAACGTTTCGGTTTTCCTTTTTTCTTTATTAACAAATTTAGACATGTGTAAGTTTACATCTTCCGTGTTCTTAAATGATTTTGAATAAAGAAAAATCAAATAGGACAAGATCTTCTAAGTAGAGTGGATGGGGTAAAACATCCAAACCAAATTCTAATAATTTTTTCTATCCAGTCGTGAACAGTATCTGAAAGAATACTTTTATAATTCCACTTCTTAATTTTTTTTTATTAATGTATCATTTAATTTATATTTAGGATTCTCGCTCCCATCGCAGGTTTTGCAATATAAAATGTTGCATTCCCAGGATATCTATAAAAAATATACTTGTAAAAGCAATTAATAATTAATAAAGCTATAGTAATATTAAAAAATGAAACAAAATCTGACTTTGACTTTATATGTTTGATGACTTCATCCAGTACATCTGTTTTTAGTAAAGTTACTGTACAACCCCCAAAACCAGCACCAGTTAGACGACTTCCTAAAACACCACTTATTTCTCTTGCTGCTGACACCAAGGTATCAAGTTCTTTGGAAGAAACCTCATAGTCATTTTTTAACGAATCATGACTTTCGTTCATTAACTGTCCAAACTTGGTAAAATCTCCCTTTTCAAGTGCCACTACTGCATCAATTGTTCTTTGAATCTCTGTTATTACATGCCGACTTCTTTTTATCATTTCTTCGGATGCATTTTGCGATCGCAGAACTAAAATTAAAACAGAATGCAGGAAATAAGTATTAAATAAAATTTTATATAAAGACGAATTTCTTTTCTTTTTACCTTCAATATCATGTACAGATGCTTCGCGCAAACTTTTTTTATTCAACTTCTTTGCAGCTTCGTAGCAACAATCTCTACGTTCACAATATGCGCTTGAACTTAATTTGTGAGGAGTATTAGAATTAGTAATAAGAAAAACATATTCGTTTATTTTTGACATAGGTATTTGCTTTGTATTAAGGCCTCTACAGTCGAGAAGTAGAGCATAATCTTTCTTCCCCATTACAGAAATAAATTGATCCATAATACCACAAGGAACTCCAGCAAAATCGTGCTCTGCGCGTTGGCATGCCAAGGCCTGAAACATATCGTGTACTACTTTCTGTTATTTTGTATGTAATGTGAAAGAGTTGAAAAAATTAAATGTGTAAAGATTAACATTAGTCAAATTTAAAATAAAATAAATATTCTGATTATTACCTTATCTTCTAGCTTATTTGCTTGTGCGCCGGTTAATGCTTCTAAAAATGTGTAAGTAGCAACTTCTAAAGCAGCTGAACTGCTAAGACCAGCACCAACTGGTACAGACGAGACAATTACAGCATTGAAAGCTGGTACATCGCCTGAAATTTGTATTTAATTAAAGTTAATTACATATTACTAGTTCTATATTAATTAAATAATAAAAACAAAACAATATATAATACCAAACTCACAAATAAAATGTGCTATACATCCTTTTACATAGTTAGCCCATTTTGGCTTTCCTGGTTTCAAACTGTCACGAGCAACTACATCAAACTCGACTTGCCTTTCAGAACTAACTGTCTCATTGAGAGAGATAATTTTATATTTTTTTTCATTACTACGCTTTCCAGCTATGACAGTTACTATAGGCAATGCCTAAAAATTAAAATAATCTACTAATGTAGTATACTTTTGTTTATTATTACTATTGTTAATATTATTGACATAGTTACATGGTAAATGTGCATAATATCAAAAATTTTATTTATATGTTTTAATTAAAATTTTTACTTTTTTAATAATGCAAGATAATAATAAAATGAATTTTCTGACTGTTATCTAATGATTATTGCTATTATTAATCAAATTTTTTAAATTATAAATAATCCATATTACAAATTTAAAAAATTACATATGAAAATTAATTTCAAAATATATAATTAATATTTTTACATTAAAATCACAATTGATGTTGTAGTTTCGATCAAAATCAAAACTGATATCGAAATGTAAAAGATAAAAATATTTTATACCTATACTGATTAAGAGTTACACAATCACACATAATTGCAATAAATTTGATTAGATATTTTTATTAAACTTGGGCTTATGTAATGTAGATAAATATATTACCAATTAAAAAAATTTTATTTCCTTTCCAGTTTATTTTATTAGAAATACTTGCATAAATGACAATATTCTCGAAATTCGAAATGTATACATGTACATATGTATATACATGTATAGTGAACGTACCGACTAGCATTTGAGATTGATGATTGTAGGTAGAAAATTAATAAAAAATTCGAGAACAATAAATGAAAATGTAATACAACATTAATGAGAATACATGGAAATTAAAAATTGGAAATGATAATACGCTTAATTTATATCAACATCAAGTATTTTACCATAGGTAAAACGAAACCTTCGTTATAATCAGTGTGTTCCCCGATCAAATTTACACGTCCCGGTGCGCAAACACAAACATCTGCATTCTCATCGAATTCCTTTGCAAAAGCTTCCAAAGCCTTCAGTTTGATGTCATTCACAGAAGGTATTATCGCAGCCATTCTTATTAGTTTTCTTATCTCAGTTTATATTTTTAATCGCTTAACGTTAAGTTTCACAAGATTTTATGAATATACAGGTTGATTTTTAATAATCCATCGATCAATCACATACGAGTTTAATCAATAATAGTTTGTGAAAATGAACGAAAGATCACCATTTGCGCGATTATGGCACACTGAATAACACCATCGACGAATACTTCGTCTTTAATAATACTAGAGATAAGAATATTCAATGTGTATCCACGAAAGAAAATTAATATCGAACATATCTTATCAGTATACTCTGTATCTATCAGAAACTCTGTATATTTCCATACAGTTACAGAGATATAAATGTAACAATTATCTTTTCATATACAATACTTAACAATTGATCTAATCGTCGGAGCATGTCGCGTGTTGCATAAATATTCAACATATTTGAATGAGAAAACCACGCAGGAAAAGCAATATGCGCGCTACAAAGGCAGTCGAAGTAGTGACATTTAATGAATTGGTATAAATGATACTATATTACTATACATATAACATACATTGACAGAGATGCCAGAAAAGCACCGCCGGGTGCACACGCGCGCATGCCAGATACGCGTACGTGAGCTCGTGGAGTTTCGGAAAGTCGACAAAGGCAAACTGACGCATACCCTCTTTCTCGATTCTCCGAAGCTGCCCGAAGTAATTTCGGATCGCCTCGTGGGAGTCGAGAGAGAAAGGCTCACATTTGCCTTCGCGCTCTAAACAACTGAAATCCGACCTCCCGTCAACGGCATACGATTTGGATTCTCGACTGCCCAGGCATTTTTACTTTCCGACCTATGTAGGCGCACATAAGCAAAGTACCCATAATGAAAAAAAAATTTTGTAAAATTTATTTTACGGAAATACACGTTTTAAGACCTCCTGATCATATTTTAATTATTGAAAAAAAAGACATTTTTTTTTATTCCCATGTATGAGCACACATATGTATATTATTAATACGATTGAATATAAATAGCTGAATGAATTTAAATGAAATTTTACATTTAAGTTTTATGTTCTCATTTCAAAGGCGTGTGGACGGATTCAAATACGTGAACACTAAACGTAACGATGTAATTATATTATTTAATATTTACTAACTATTTAACATAAAGAACATAAAAGAAAGACATAAAACGTAAACGTAAAAGATCATAAACGTAAAACTGTGATTGCTCTCGACTAACGTTCGATACAGAGTGACGTTCCTGCAGTCAAAGTCGACCCTTCCTTATTCCAATCTTATAATAATGATCTAAACAAAACGCACGTTCGAGACGCAGTCTCTAAAACGTATTTCAGCTTAAACCTAAACACCTTACTCGATACCTACTCTAGCTTGTTAGACTAAACACTCCTATCGACGCAAACGATAACGGTTCTCCTAGCCACACACATACACTCCTTACAGATTATACCTCTTGTTTCATAGTTGTTCCGATATATAGACATAATGTATAAAAAATCTTTTAAATGTTTCATATAAATCTTAGGACGAATTAAATTTTATATAAAAAAAATTATATAAACTTTTTCTCTATCTTCTCTAGAAAAGAAAGCATTAAATTAAATCTTATACATTACATGCTTACTTAAATCGCATTGAAAACGAATACCACAAATGTTTTAGAATAATGTGCAAAATGTGATTGCGATTTTCGCTAAGACAAATTGAAAACTCGTTTCTAACAAGGAAAAGTTGGAATGGTACCAGGTTTTGGGTTAGGTTTTACTTTGAGATATTATTTAAGTTATTACAGGTACTTATTCTCAGAAATAGAACTGTGTTCACCACTAGTCAGCGTGGCGTGAGTGATGAGGTCTTTGCCTGCAAGTTCCGAACTTCTTCTGCTCTGCTGGTTCGAACCCTGCTTGAACTTTTTTTTTTTATTTTTTCAATCATACTTTAATCGTACACTAAATATGACATTATATTTTTGTCTGACCTTCGAATATTTTTTTTTAAAGTTAAATTTAACCGATTACATTTAACATATGTTATTTTCAATGTACGAAGTACATGAATCTGGATGGTACTTTTCACAAAAACAGTCAAAACATAAAAATTTCAAGCACCACGTACATTTACTGAAAGTTTTGTTTTCACAGAAATTACAAAATTTTGTATCTAACTCTGATGGAAAGGCCGCTTCATTTACATTGATAAAATGTGAACGATTTTCGGATAGTCGTACCTTGTAGCTCGTACTTTTTACCTTATACTTCAGGTAAAAAGGGATATAGCTGGGAAAAACAGTTTTATGACATTACCTGCTAACTTATGTTACTGTTCTACAATGAAACGCTATGTTTTGTACCTTTAAAAATATTCGACTATGTCCTTTTAAAATTTAAGATACAACCCATACTTTGTATTAAACTGGCAAACGGGATCACTTTTCCTTTGTTTCTAGTTAGTTCTATTTAGTTCGTCATAACCAATTGATACGGTTATTTCAAAACAATCGAGGAAAATCATTATTAATTAATTTCTGCAATTATTAATTCTACTGTTTTGTTTATGTTATAAAAGTAAGAACTCTTCTTATTGAAAAATACCACAGCGTGCACAATACTGGTAAAGAGTGGAATCTCATTTTAATTTATTAATTTTCAATCTTAAAGTATTTTGATTTTCAAAAATCGTATTAATAATATACATATGTGTGCTCATACATGGGAATAAAAAAAAATGTCTTTTTTTTCAATAATTAAAATATGATCAGGAGGTCTTAAAACGTGTATTTCCGTAAAATAAATTTTACAAAATTTTTTTTTCATTATGGGTACTTTGCTTATGTGCGCCTACATAGGTCGGAAAGTAAAAATGCCTGGCCAGTCGAGAATCCAAATCGTATGCCGTTGACGGGAGGTCGGATTTCAGTTGTTTAGAGCGAGAAGGCAAATATGAGCCTTGCTCTCTCGACTCCCACGAGGCGATCCGAAATTACTTCGGGCAGCTTCGGAGAATCGAGAAAGAGGGCATGCGTCAGTTTGCCTTTGTCGACTTTCCGAAACTCCACGAGCTCACGTACGCGTATCTGGCATGCGCGCGTGTGCACCCGGCGGTGCTTTTCTGGCATCTCTGTACATTGATGTCAGTGCCTGGTCCGTTTAAATTTCGCTCTTAATTAGAATGCAGTTACATGACTCTGTACTCGACGGTGAGTTTCAATTAATTCCCGTTGTGGCGCTATGTGCATTAAACCTATGTTCACGCGACAGAGTAACAAAACAGTAACAATGAGTACGTGGCTTTAAGTTAGCTTAAAATGACAAATATTCAATCATTAAGAATTTTTAACCGATGATTCTGTTTATTTAATGAAACAATTGTCAGTCCATGACAATTATCCTAATTGATAATGCGATGACGGTCTCAAATCCACTTATCAAAGAACTGAAAGGTAATTTTGTGATGTCAGATATTCTTAGGTTACAAAATTATTTTACGAGTGAAATTAAATTTAAATTTTATGAGAAACAGTTCTTGTCATGTTTCGTTTGTACCATTATTAATTTAATTTACTTTCAGGTTGGACAAGAAAGTTAACAGAATGTGACAAAGAAATTGATGATGAAAATACAGATTTGCTTTATTTTTGCAAATGTTTAGAAAAATGTTTACAGAAGGGTGTATTATTGCGCTTAAATAATGTAAGTTTTGCAAAGTTGCCTGATGCTTGGTACTGGTTGGAAGAAATCACTGAAAAACATTTCAGGTTTATAAAAAAAATATAAATTATTTCCTATTGTATATTTTTAAATTTAATGGAAATCATTTACGATTGTTAAATTACAGTGATATTTTTGTACAATTTTAAATTATTTTTAGTATTTTAATAATTACAATACTTAAAAATATTCATGTTACTTTACGTTAAAAAAAATAAGGTAACATTGTTTTAGTTCCTGTTCTACTTACTCTTTAGCGGTCGAACAAGTGAAACAAAACCCAAAAGTGCATACACCTAGTGGATGTCTTAGACTTTTAATTAGAACATGTTTAATGCGAAAGTGCCTTCATATGCCTATAGAAATGCTGGTATATTTAAATTATTAAAATTTTGTTACCTTTTATAATTCCGTTAATGCTTTTATAACTATTATTATGTGAAAAATTCCATAGGTCAGGACACCATTAATGGCTACAGACTATTATGATAAAAACAGTATTCTAGGAGATGACATTCTTGGTGAAATATTTCTATCAGTATTGCTACAAAGTAGTAAACTAAATTTTAAATTAAATTTACGAAATTCTAGTTTTTTGGATGAATCTTGGCAGCTGCCAGAATGTGTGGCTCTGGAATTAGTGCCATGTAAAAGTTTAGGTATTTCTGTGTGGTAAGTAATTTGAATTATAAGCCAAATTTTTTACTGTAACTGATGCACCTTGTTGTCACAGTTTTACCAAAGGAAAAGCTTTAATAGTTAATTTGGATAAAAATTCAGTAGCTGCCGAAGATGTAAGAAATTTAATACTATTTTTTTAAATTTTATGCATGCACGAAATAAAATAAAAGTTATAATATTAGAAAATGTGGATATTAACTTCAATTTCTGCTATTGTTTATATACTAGGATAAAGTTGAGATTGGGAATGTGTTAGATGAAATAAATGGAAATGCTATAACATCAAATACTAAAGGCCAGTTGCGTAAAATTATGAGGAAATCTATGGGCCAACCAGTGTGTTTACATGTAATTAGAGTATGTATCTTGAAATTACATGACATTATTTTAATTATAGACAATTATATTTTCAAGATTATGAACTTTTAGCATCGAAATAAAGAAACAAATGAAGTGTATGCTCCAATAGTACAGCTTATAAAAAGCTCGGGTATTGAGAGTATGACAAAAATTTTAAAAAAATTTAATTCAGAAAAGCATGACGATGAAAAAACTGAGGTATCTAAGCCAAGAAACAAATCATTGAATGCTGGATTTTCTGTTAAATATTGCGGTTCTGTATATATTGGCACTGAAGGAGATGTTAAACAAATTGAAAGGGCAATCCTACAAGTTCTGAAGTCGGAAGAAATGAAATTAGTTCCTGTAAAATTTGAATGTCTAGAAATCGGAATTAGAGTAACAGAGATCACAGAGGACACAGTATGTGAACATAACTTTAGCATTTAGAAACGAAGCGCTTAGAAACTTACGATAACTTAACAATAATTTTTATTTAAACGTTTAGATAATATGTAAACAAAGTTACATGGAAATCTCGTCTTGTGGTCGTACTGCAAACATTCCAAATTATTTTGCATTTATTGCAGGGTAATATAATTAATATTACACGTTTTTCAATTTAAATAATAAATTATTTTATTTTATTAAATACGAATTATATATAATTAACTCAATTTACAGAGATACTAACTGCAATTTAGCAACCAAATTTGATGCATATATATTTTACCATCAAAATGAAAATGAAGTACAAACTATATTACAAAGTTTGGGCCAAGGATTTCAACGAACACATTTTGCAGTTTAATGGTTTTAAATAAAAAAAAACGACTGTATTGAAAATTATTTCATGACGAAAACTATATTTAAAAATTCACACTACGAATATTCCAATTTACGTTATCTAGTCAATGTTAATAAATTGTATTTTTCATTCATCTTAAACTATTACCAAAGTTTTCGCTCTAATAAAATTTTATTCTAAATATGTTGTATGTAAAAACGTTTATGATTCTATGTTGAAAAATTTATGATCTTATGACGTATTCTTTTGTTATAAAGTCATAAAATGTAAAAATAAAATTGTTCATATCACGTGTAAAAAAAATTTCCCATTTGCTACAGTACATATCTATAAATATGAAACTATGTGATATTAATTCATAATTAAACACGATATTTTATCTTTCACTATATTTTAGATATTTACGCACTGTTAACATAAATGTATTCATCGGACAATCAGTTGTATTTATAATCAAAAGAATATATCAAAATAAATGACTCTAAACTTTACTATACATCATTTACGTTTCTGTTTTTTTAAATTTTTCTGAATAAGAAACACGACGACAGCGCCGCGCGTCGGTGGTTTCCCTCTCTCAAGCGTATTGAGCTCGTGTAGCGTCAGAGATGCCAGAAAAGCACCGCTGGGTGCACACGCGCGCATGCCAGATACGCGTACGTGAGCTCGTGGAGTTTCGGAAAGTCGACAAAGGCATACTGACGCATGCCCTCTTTCTCGATTCTCCGAAGCTGCCCGAAGTAATTTCGGATCGCCTCGTGGGAGTCGAGAGAGCAAGGCTCACATTTGCCTTCTCGCTCTAAACAACTGAAATCCGACCTCCCGTCAACGGCATACGATTTGGATTCTCGACTGGCCAGGCATTTTTACTTTCCGACCTATGTAGGCGCACATAAGCAAAGTACCCATAATGAAAAAAAAATTTTGTAAAATTTATTTTACGGAAATACACGTTTTAAGACCTCCTGATCATATTTTAATTATTGAAAAAAAAGAAATTTTTTTTTATTCCCATGTATGAGCACACATATGTATATTATTAATACGATTTTTGAAAATCAAAATACTTTAAGATTGAAAATTAATAAATTAAAATGAGATTCCACTCTTTACCAGTATTGTGCACGCTGTGGTATTTTTCAATAAGAAGAGTTCTTACTTTTATAACATAAACAAAACAGTAGAATTAATAATTGCAGAAATTAATTAATAATGATTTTCCTCGATCGTTTTGAAATAACCGTATCAATTGGTTATGACGAACTAAATAGAACTAACTAGAAACAAAGGAAAAGTGATCCCGTTTGCCAGTTTAATACAAAGTATGGGTTGTATCTTAAATTTTAAAAGCACATAGTCGAATATTTTTAAAGGTACAAAACATAGCGTTTCATTGTAGAACAGTAACATAAGTTAGCAGGTAATGTCATAAAACTGTTTTTCCCAGCTATATCCCTTTTTACCTGAAGTATAAGGTAAAAAGTACGAGCTACAAGGTACGACTATCCGAAAATCGTTCACATTTTATCAATGTAAATGAAGCGGCCTTTCCATCAGAGTTAAATACAAAATTTTGTAATTTCTGTGAAAACAAAACTTTCAGTAAATGTACGTGGTGCTTGAAATTTTTATGTTTTGACTGTTTTTGTGAAAAGTACCATCCAGATTCATGTACTTCGTACATTGAAAATAACATATGTTAAATGTAATCGGTTAAATTTAACTTTAAAAAAAAATATTCGAAGGTCAGACAAAAATATAATGTCATATTTAGTGTACGATTAAAGTATGATTGAAAAAATAAAAAAAAAAAGTTCAAGCAGGGTTCGAACCAGCAGAGCAGAAGAAGTTCGGAACTTGCAGGAAAAGACCTCATCACTCACGCCACGCTGACTAGTGGTGAACACAGTTCTATTTCTGAAAATAAGTACCTGTAATAACTTTAATAATATCTCTAAGTAAAACCTAACCCAAAACCTGGTACCATTCCAACTTTTCCTTGTTAGAAACGAGTTTTCAATTTGTCTTAGCGAAAATCGCAATCACATTTTGCACACTATTCTAAAACATTTGTGGTATTCGTTTTCAATGCGATTTAAGTAAGCATGTAATGTATAAGATTTCATTTAATGTTTTCTTTTCTAGAGAAGATGGAGAAAAAGTTTATATAATTTTTTTTATATAAAATTTAATTCGTCCTAAGATTTATATGAAACATTTAAAAGATTTTTTATACATTATGCCTATATATCGGAACAACTATGAAACAAGAGGTATAATCTGTAAGGAGTGTATGCGTGGCTAGGAGAACCGTTATCGTTTGCGTCGATAGGAGTGTTTAGTCTAAGCTAGCGTAGGTATCGAGTGAGGTGTTTAGGTTTAAGCTGAAATACGTTTTAGAGACTGCGTCTCGAACGTGCGTTTTGTTTAGATCATTATTATAAGATAGGAATAAGGAAGGGTCGACTTTGACTGCAGGAACGTCACTCTGTATCGAACGTTAGTCGAGAGCAATCACAGTTTTACGTCTATGATCTTTTACGTTTACGTTTTATGTCTTTCTTTTATGTTCTTTATGTTAAATAGTTAGTAAATATTAAATAATATAATTACATCGTTACGTTTAGTGTTCACGTATTTGAATCCGTCCACACGCCTTTGAAATGAGAACATAAAACTTAAATGTAAAGTTTCATTTAAATTCATTCAGCTATTTATATTCAATCGTATTAATAATATACATGTGTGCTCATACATGGGAATAAAAAAAAATTTCTTTTTTTTCAATAATTAAAATATGATCAGGAGGTCTTAAAACGTGTATTTCCGTAAACTAAATTTTACAAAATTTTTTTTTCATTATGGGTACTTTGCTTATGTACGCCTACATAGGTCGGAAAGTAAAAATGCCTGGCCAGTCGAGAATCCAAATCGTATGCCGTTGACGGGAGGTCGGATTTCAGTTGTTTAGAGCGAGAAGGCAAATGTGAGCCTTTCTCTCTCGACTCCCACGAGGCGATCCGAAATTACTTCGGGCAGCTTCGGAGAATCGAGAAAGAGGGCATGCGTCAGTTTGCCTTTGTCGACTTTCCGAAACTCCACGAGCTCACGTACGCGTATCTGGCATGCGCGCGTGTGCACCCGACGGTGCTTTTCTGGCATCTCTGCTCCAAACTCCAAACCAGTGTGAATTGCGGTAGTATATGCCTCACACTGAGTGAGATAGTCACAGTTCGTTATTTGAAAGTACAACGGGTTAGAGTTTTTAGACTTTTGAGTTACATTTATAATTAATTTGAGTTGAAGATGTATATAAAGTCTATGGTATTAGAAGGATTTAAATCATACGGAAAGAGAATCGAAATAAATGGTTTCGATAAAGAGTTTAATGCAATCACAGGATTCAATGGTACCGGGAAATCTAACGTTCTGGACGCGATATGCTTTGTTTTGGGAATTACACAACTTGGACAGGTATATTACCGTTTCATTGAGTTTCATCGGGTGTAGAATGTGCTTCAAACCTTAAATTGCTCATACATGTCGAGATCGAAATGCAGTAGAAGGCTAAAATTTTGCAACAGCCCCGTCGACGATTTATTTACATTCAAATGTAAAAAATAAGTTTGGATTATTTTCTGCAATATCTTATTTTTTACTTTTCTAAAATAGGTGCGTGCAGCATCATTGCAAGATTTGGTTTATAAATCTGGGCAAGCAGGCATTAAGAAAGCTAGTGTTACTATAACATTTGATAATCGTGATAAAAGTTCATCACCTATGGGGTATGAACATCACCAGGAAATAACAGTTACAAGAAGAATTTTAATCGATGGTAAAAATGGATATTTGATTAATGGATCTAATGTGACAAACAAACGTGTACAAGACATGTTCTGTTCTGTTCAACTTAATGTGAATAACCCTCATTTTTTAATAATGCAAGGAAGAATTACAAAAGTTCTTAATATGAAACCTGTAGAAATATTGTCCATGATAGAGGAAGCAGCAGGTACACGATTGTATGAAAATAAAAAGGAGGCTGCTTTGAAAACTATTGAAAAGAAAAATACTAAATTAAGGGAAATAAACAATGTATGATTGTTTTTTTTATTAATTAATATAATTTATTGATACAGAATCTTATAAATATATTTATTTTAGATTTTGAAAGAAGAAATAGGCCCAAGATTAGCAAAGCTTAGAGAAGAGAAAATACAATATGTGGAATTTCAACGTATTGAGAGAGAACTAGAACACTGTAAAAGAATTTGTCTTGCTTGGAAATATGTTAAAGCGTTGAACGAAAGTGAAAAAGCTGAAGAAAATGTACAAAATGTTAAAAATAAAATAGACGAAAAGACAAAAAGTATTGCTGCTGGCGAAGAAGACCTTAAAAGTATTGTGGAGGAATGCAAGGAATTATCTAAGAAAATAGATGAAGTATGTAGTTCGATAAAAAAGATATCGTATTTTTATATTTTCTTTAATTACTATATTATGTTTAGGAAACAGGAGGACAATTGGAGTCATTGCAGAAGGAATTGCAACAGGCGGAAAAACACCAATTTAAATTAGCAGCTGAAGTTAATAGTAATAAAGAAAGCATTAAAACTGCTAAAAAAGCTGTGGAACAATTAAAAATTAACATAAAAGATGATGACAATGTTTTTAAATCAAAGCAGAAACAGTTTGTAAACGTTGAAGAGCTTTTTAAGAATTTAAAAGAAATGGATCAACAAGATTCTGATGCAGTATTAACTGCACAAGAACAATATCAAAAAATTAGTGCTGGTTTATTACAAAACAAAGATGGTGAAAATGCCACGCTAGAACAACAATTGATAACTGCTAAACAAAGTGTAACCGAAGCGCAGACGCAACGTAAGCAGTGTGAAATGACATTAAAACATAATAGAGAACAGTTAAAGACGAAAAAGGCAGATTTGAAAAATACCGAGCATGAATATAAACAATACACTAAAAATCTTGATAATAAAGAGAAAGATTTAAAAAATTTGGAAAATGAATTGAAAAAAGTAAATTATGAGGACGGAAGTATAGAACAGCTTCAACAACAAAAAAATGTCTTGAGGAATGAAGTAAGAGTATTAGAAGAAAATGTGGACTCTTTTGAATCGAGATATCCGCGTATTAGGTTTGAATATAAGAAACCAGAACCTAATTTTAATCACGATTCTGTAAAAGGAGTGGTTTGCAAATTAATCACACTGAAGGATAAACAAGCAGCATATGCATTGGATACTGCTGCAGGAGGAAAGGTATGTATCTAAATGTATATAAAATTTTTTAAATTTATATTAACATTACAAAACTTGAATTGTAATTAATTTGTTGAATTTTAGCTATATAATGTAATAGTAGATACAGAAATTACTAGTAGAAAACTACTTCAAAATGGGCAACTACAACAGCGAGTTACTTTTATTCCATTGAATAAAATAGATGGAAGAACGATGGATAGTAACATAATTCGTTTGGCAGAAAGATTAGGTGGCGCTGGAAACGTTCAAACAGCATTGTCTCTTATAAATTTTCCAGAGGAGACACGGTCAGCTATGAATTGGATTTTTGGGCAAATTTTTATTTGTAAAGATATTGATACCGCCAAGAAAATTGCGTTTCATGCGAATATCATGAAGAAGTGTGTTACTTTGGAAGGAGATGTCGTTGATCCTGCAGGTATTTTATCTGGAGGCGCAGCATCGAAATCTGGATCGGTTCTTTTAAAATTAGAAGAATTAAAAACTATTCAAAATGAGTTAAATATGAAACAACAGACTCTTGGAAATATTGAAACTACTCTGGCAAATTTAAGCAAGGTCGCAGAAAAATATATGTCGCTGAAACAAACATTCGATTTACGGAATTATGAAATCGGTGTGATAAAACAAAGATTAGAACAAACAGTATATTATAAAATAAAAGAAGCGGTACATATGTTTTGCAAGTTTGATATATCGATTACAGTAGTGCCCACATAAGTGACCACACTCGGGACCGGCATGGTTACTTTTGAAAAATTAAACGGGGACAAGAGTTGGTGGGGATAACCGCGGTCACTTGTGTGGGCACTACTGTATTTCGATATATGTATATCGATATCAAATACTAATCGACATTATTGTTTTTTAGATTGATTTGTTAGAAAATAGTATCGAAGAGCTTTTACAGAAAATGACTACAGCGGAACAAAATGAAAAACAGAATAGTGAACGCGCGAAAGAACTAGAGCATCAATTGAAAGATTCGGTTAATATTCGCGAGAAACAACTAGCAGAAGCCAAAACGAAACTGGAACAACTGAAAAAGAAAGCTGAAAATAGTCGTAAAGAGTGGCAAAAGCGGGAATATGAAGCAGAAACGCTTGATTTAGAAATGAAAGAATTGCAAAGCAGTGTTGAAACTGGAAAAGCACAATTATTAGAATCGGAAGGAAAGTTGAATGCGCTACAAGAAACAACTGATAAATTAGAACAAGAATTAAGCGAAGCTAGGAGTAATGTTAAACGGTTAGAATCTAATATAAAAGAACAGAAAACCTCGATCAATAAGCAAAATACTTATATGCAAAAGCTTGTAACAAAGAAAGAAGATATAATGAAACGAAACAAGGACGCAGAATTAGATATTCAAAAGTTAAACTACGAAATTAACTCGATTCAGAGTTGTGCTAAAAGTTGTAAACAAAAAGTATTGGAACTGTCGCGAAAATACGAATGGATCGAACAAGATAAGATTTATTTTGGAAAAACAGGTAATAATTTATATTGAAATTATAAATTCATTCTATTTCTGGTTTTTAATACACGATTTTATAAAATACTTTTTTTCTCTCGCAGGTGGTATTTATGATTTTGAGGTTAATAAACCTGATGAAATGGAACAGAAATTACAACGTTTACAAACATCGCGAGAAAAATTAACTCGAAATATTAACACACGTGCTATTATTTTGTTTGATAAAGTGGAAGAACAATATAATGAAACGATGAAGAAACAAAGGATAGTTGAAAACGATAAACGCAAAATATTAGAAACAATTAAACATTTAGACGAAAAGAAAAAAGCAACGTTGTTGAAAGCTTGGAAACAAGTACTATCAATTAATATGTCAATTGAACTTAATTAAGTATTGATATTCAAATTATTTTAAATAATCGTTATAAATTAATTTCTAGGTAAATAAAGATTTTGGATCCATATTTAGTACTTTGCTACCAGGAGGTGATGCAAAATTGCAAGCTCCGGAAAATCAAACGGTTACAGATGGTTTAGAAGTAAAAATTGCGTTCTCCGGAATTTGGAAAGAATCACTAGGAGAATTATCCGGAGGGCAGAGATCTTTAGTAGCTTTATCTTTAATTTTAGCCATGCTTCTATTTAAACCCGCGCCACTTTATATTTTGGACGAGGTTGACGCTGCTTTGGATCTTTCTCATACGGAAAATATTGGAATAATGTTGAAAAGACATTTTAAACATTCACAATTTATTGTTGTATCGTTAAAAGATGGACTGTTTAAAAACGCTAATGTAATATTCACAACTAAATTTGTTGATGGAATGTCAACAATATCTAGAAATCAGATAAGAAGTAACTAAATTAATATTTTATATTTTATATATTATTTAATAAATAATAAAAATAATTTTCATGATTATCAAAGTTATTCTGTATGTTGGATTTCTTAACCATTTGACAGCCGTGTGCACATTAATGGAAGTAACTTTTGCATGATTGGCTACGAGAGGGCGTAAGTACAAGAGGTTTGTTTATTCTCTGAATGTAAGAACAGATATTTTTTAGATTAATTAATACTGCGTTTAGAACAGCGAATAAGAAGAATCGTACAGTAATCGCACAGTAAACAATTACAGAAATAATTATCTTGGGTACTGAACGTTTTGGCTTAAATAATTTCGTCGCTTAGAACTTAACCTAAAAACTGTAACTAAGCACGTGCATCTATGCCACTATAACGAGCACGGTTTAATAATTTTATTCCCATAAGTTTGTAATCTTCAATTATGGACGGTCACGAAATTTTTTTTGAAACACAATCTAATAAAATTACATTACATATGGTTACAACAAAATTGGGTAAAGTAAAGAAAAAAGGATTTACCTGACGGATAAAGGAAAAGAAGATAATGGGACTAAGGGGCCATGGTTAATATAATTCTTGCTTTTAAAGGGAAATTAAATGAAATTTCAATGCTAAAAAATAAGGTGAGCAGTCTTAAAAAAATTATGAAAGACTCAGAAGCTTGTAAGAAGAGTAATATTTGGATATTGCAAAGAAGTTTCAGAAGCTTTAAAACAGATTGTAATTTTGTATAAATTTGTACTATTTCTACTCTCATATTATGATGTAACTATTTAAAGTATGCTCATTTGTACTAAATTGCTAAGTTTAAATATAAGTATATTGTGTGTATATTATTATAATATATCATAGTTTATATAGGTCAATTTAACCAAAGTGATCGAGATATGATGGTTGTACAGGAAAATATTTTGAACAAATTGTTATGATCTAAAATGTAAATTAAAATTTATCTAAATAAATATAATTTATAGATTTGAAACTAAAATCAATGAAAAGTATGACTTTTGTTAAAATGCGTTTCATTCCACTTAAAATAAAAGAGAATCCAAAACTATAAAGTTATATTTGGCAGCAATACCGCAAGTATCGAACAAAAAGTTTTAATGCGTTCGAAGATTTAAAAAAATTTAGTCATTCATAAGAAAACATGTCTAACGCTTCGTATGAAACACCCTGTATACATATACGTATATTATTGTGTATACATACAGAGACCATTCGTGTGAAATGAAATCAAAATATTTTGTTAGATGGTTCAAAGTGACGATAGAAAAATGCAACAAGAATCGCGATTTTAAAAAGATCGATAGTATCTCGATTGGTGAAAAATAGTCGAGAGATATCAGGAAGGTGATCCTTAGATCGGGGTTGGGGTCAGGTTCGGGTCGGAGTCAAGTTCCCTTCTTGCGACGTGCGCCGTAACCGTTGCGCCGTATAACCTTCTGTCAGCCGTCCGTCGGTAGAGAGCGAGTACTTACTTACTCGTTGATCAGAGGAAAGATGGCTACGAATTTTGGAGTAGAGTGTCAGTACTTTTTCGAAGATGTCGTCTACTGTGTGGACAAGAAAGGTAACGTTGTATTTGGAATCGTTATGGAAAATGACGATGAAGATTTATCTGAAGAAAGTTCCGATAGCGAAGAAAGCCCTAAGAGAAAAAAGGGCGAGATTCGCGTGGTCTGGCATCCCTCCGGTGTCGAGGAGTTGGTCAACGCAAAAAAGGTATTTAGTTTTTAATATGGTGCGAGAATACGTTGTTTACGAAAAGTGAATATTAAATGAAATGATATTTCGTAGTGTTATTAGCCCCCTTTTGTCCTATTTGTATTCTTAATTTCAATGGAAACCCGACACATGTCACGCAAGCGATATCTGCAACCGAATGTTAAATTTAAATTTGAATTCAATTCCGATGTAATAACCGCGACCTTTCGATTTTCGGTACTGTATTACTACGACTTTTTATAAATGTAACGTTTATTTACAGATTTATTTGGCAGATAGAACACTTATGCCAGGGGATGTTGTACGTCGAATGATTAAAGGAAAGGACACACAGAGAGGATATTGTAGAGATATTGAATTAACTGCTTGTGTTCAAGTGATTGGTACTAAACAAGTTCTTACAAATATTAGAAGCGAAGATTTAGTTCCTTTAGAAGTACGTAATGAAGCATACATGCCGTTTATTTATAACAATTTAACTCGTGTACTGTAATTAATAGTTTTTATTTATAGGAGTTTGCAACCGATATAGCCGTTTGTATGGATTCTTGGGTGGGTGGTATAAAAATGGCGCACTATAAAGTATGGCTTACTACACCCGATGGGTCCCGTTGTGTTGTAAATGAAATGGATTCTTGCGTCCTAGGACAATTAGAAGAAAAACGAGATAATGTAAGAAACAAATTTAAAATAATCCTTTGATAATGGTTAAATATACAACGGGCGTTTTTTTAGGACAATGACTTTCCTCACTCTTCTGAATTCTATCCTGGTCAAAGTTTGTGGGGACCAGTTCACTGCCTAGAAGATGCACAGTGGATTACGTGTACAAAAGAAATGAAAGCGAAAAGGAAAACCAAACCGCATAAAATAACTAAAGTGATCGTAGAAAAAGTAGAAACAGATTGGGTAGGTGTACAGTGGCAGTGCAGAGCATATTCGAAGGATGGCGCATGGTCGAATCAAGCTCAACCAAAGTTTGTAGTCGAAGGAGAAAATTTGAAGAAATTAAAATTATTAAATGTTTTCGAGCCTTCTACGGTGCAAGTGGGAGATCGTAATTTCTATATAATTAAAGATAGTGAAAATGTAATTACACGAGAACAGTGGAGAAAGCATCAAAGAGACGTTTTTCAAGTTCCTAAACACAGCCCAAAGAAAACACGTCCAAATATCAGTGTCACGAAGCCTCCCGAGGATAAGAAAAAGGAGAAGGACAAGGATAAAATTAATGAACAACAGACGTTACAAAACAGTGCTCAAAATAATATTAACCATTTACAAAATGTGACAAGTAATAATACCCTAATGCCTCCAGCACAAAATCAACATACTGAGAGTTCCGATGACTGGGATACAGAGGATACTGGTTCGCAAAGCGACAGTGCTTCGGTAAGATATTTTCTCGCCTTTTAAATTGTTGCTCAACTTGGAAGATCAATTAACATTTTGATATTTATAGGTATCCAGTGGGTGTTCGAGTATGTCATCTATGGGCAAAAAGAAAAAGGGTCCTGCTTTGATGACTAAAGTACTAAAAAAAAAAAGGCTGTGCAAAGCAAAGAAAAAAGTGCCGCCTGTTCCACTTATTCCAGGAACTAAAATTGTTGTGGAAACGTTATCTACGAATACAAAAGCTAATGTTGTGTGGCAAGATGGCTCTGTAGAATTTGGTATCGTATCAATGGTATCTTTAATTGTATTTTAACGGTACTGTGAAACTTTTACAATTTCTTCTGTTGCTTTTCTATAGGCATTCCATCGACACAGCTATATCCAATTCATCATTTAGACGACAAAGAATTCTTTCCAGGTGATTTTGTAGTTGACCAAAAAGAAGAATCTAGAATGTATGGTGTAGTTCAAAGTGTCGATCACCAAGGTAGAACAGCTAAAATAAAATGGTTCAAAACCTATACATCTAGTCAAAGTCCACAGTAAGTAATTTTTTAATGAAACTAATGAAATTGGTTAGAAAAACCAGCATTAATGTCGATAAATATTTGCCAGCCCAACTTTACTAGAAGAACGCGAGGTCAGTGTGTATGATTTGAAGGATCATCCAGACTTTCAATACAGACCGGGTACATTAGTAATTCGAATAGCTAATTTTGAAGGCGAGGATGCTGGGTGCACTGCTGGTCAAGTGCTAGATAATTATCCAGAAGGACGAGTTAAAGTGTGGTGGGTCGATGGACATGTAAGTATGTGTTGGCCTCAAGATTTGTATAAAGTAGGTGAATATGATAGTGACGAAGGAGAACTGTGGGATGACGTTTCGTCCGACGCGTCATGGGAAACAGAATTGGAAGATTGTTTTATCGCTGATACCGATGCAACGGAGCAAACAGAGTTGGAAAACATAAAGCCAAGATTAGCCGCCCACATCGAGAAAGCTCGTATCGCGATGTCTAGATTGGAAGAAATCTTTACTCAAAATCCATCGCTTCAGACAACCGAAGTTATGAGAAAATTATTAGAAGTTTATAAAGATTGTCGGTATATGGACAAACTTATGGGCACCTCTTTCTTCCACGAGAGTCATTTCCAGGGACTTTTGGAAAGGGTCAGAGAACGTGGTCGAGCAAACGTGGCACAACGTATGGCGGATCAAGTGACAAGATTATTTAGTCATAAATCTGATGGATCGGAGGAAAACACAGAAAAAGACAATACAGAAAATTCCAGTAGTATACAATCTGGTAGTAACCCTTCTGAGAAAATCATAACCATAACGGAACCCACTGGCGACAAGAACGAGAAGGATAGTATTAAACAACGGAACGTTAAAGACGAAGAATCGGTCGATCGATTATTTATCAACGTTAATCCAAATCCTGAAGATTCTGGATTATATTCTGCGGATAATTCGAAGAAAGAATCAGGTTCGAGCGAGTCCAGTGGAGAATTTCTACTCAGCGAGGATGCAAATAACGGGCCTGATCGTTTGATAGAAAGAGCGGAACCAAATAAGTCCATCAAAACGCAGATGTACATAACGAGTTCTCACGTGGCCGGTTCTCAAGTTTGCGTTAAACTGTGTACATTGATAAAAGCTCAGCTTGTGCTAGCGCACGCGGAGGTTTCAAAACGGTTTGGACTATCAAAAATGTCATTATCCGATGCTGAAAAAGGCGCATCTCCTTTAAAGAAGCAGAAGAAAGAAGAGGAAAAACGTGTAGAGGTACCGCAAGAACCAACGGAATGTATAACAGAAATTCCACCGCCAGTGTACGAAGAAGGAGAAGGATTCTCCATAGAAGAAACAGCACCAGATAGTCATAAATTTAAGTTAACAATGTTCCAGCCTACAGATCCTACAAACTTTTTCCGAACTGTTTCCAAGGAATTAAAGCTCTTGAAGAGTTCACTTCCACCCGGTATATGGGTAAAAGGTTTCGAAGATAGGATAGATTTATATTCGGTAATGTTTCGAGGACCTGAGAAAACACCGTACGAAGATGGTCTCTTCCTTTTCGACTTTCAATTGTCCGCCGATTATCCAGTCGCTCCACCACTTTGCCATTATATTTCCTACTGCAATGATAGATTGAATCCTAACCTCTACGAAGACGGAAAAGTATGCGTGAGTTTACTTGGTACATGGTCTGGTCGCGGAACGGAAGTTTGGACAAGTTCTTCGACTTTGTTGCAAGTTATAGTTTCGATCCAAGGCCTTATTCTCGTACCCGAACCATACTTCAATGAGGCTGGATTTGAAAAGCAAAAGGGCTCCCAACAAGGAAGAGAAAATTCAAGAATGTACAATGAAATGGTTGTACTGAAATTAGTTCAAGCGCAGACTAAGCTGCTCCAACATCCACCGCCTGTTTTCAAAGATATTATTATTGGACATTTCAAGAGACACGCGAAGAAATTATTACAACGGCTGGATCTGTGGATGGAAATTTCTGAACAGCACAATAATCAACACCCATTGTCTCCGGTTACACCTACTACGTTCAAACAAATATCTGACGTTGGTGAGTTGTAATAAAAATTTTTTTTAATTACAGATCTTTTTATTTAATCAAGCTATCGACATTTTTCTATTTTAAAAAGCATTCTTTGAATGTTTGCTTGTTTACTGGCTTACGTTAATAGAAAACAGTAGTAAAAGAGGGGGAAATGTTCTATGAACAAAATAGAATGCTCGATATGGTTCTGTTTAGATGAAAAGATACTCCCGGAATTTCCATTGATACCAGCGTCAAGAGGATTCTGTATAACGCTTCGTAAAACACTAGCCACGTTCAAAGAGGTACTGATTAAGGAAGGCATTATAGGCGGCAATAGAGTACAGAACAGTGGAATGAAAGAGCAAACTAATAGTACTAAAAATGAGTGTTACGAACCATGTAAAACTGCTGATGGTAACGCAATGAAGCGTGATAACAGCAAAAGAAATAACAGTCAAGAAGATAACTCTAAATTAACTCCGAACGGTAATTTGTCCAAGGACTGTGTTTTATCTTCCTCGACGAATATTTCCGTCGCGCCATTAAGCGAAACGAAGAAAAAGACTTCGGATCGTACCATCAGCTAGCCACAAGGTAAACCTAAGTTTAAACGTAAAAGGTACATGATTATGCGGTAATATATTCAATTAATTTATTATGTATATATATATATATATATATATATAATGCTTACTTAGATATATATATATATATGTACATGTTAACAATATGTTCAATGATAATCGCGGTATCTATTTATTAATATTAACACCACTACTAACAAGCGATAACATTTTAACAGAAACGCCGCTGTCATTGCTCCGCAGCTAGAGATACTTGTTACTGTAGAGAAACCATATAGTAACTCAATAAATGCGATTATACAGGCACATGCAAGAGCGAATAAGACGTTGCTCTTGTATACAATATCGTAAACTTCCGGGGTATATTACACGGTTAATTTATATTTGTCATATTATTTCGTTGTATCCGTCGCGGATAATATGATAATAAACTGTACTTAGTATTGTCACGATAGTTGCGGAGGGTGTTAGTACTTATCGTACGACATAAGCGTTTTACAATATTATTTATATTTATTTTTTTATTTAAGTCAATCTCCTTAGTGTAATGTAAAATATAATTGTTTACAACCGAGAAAGTCGTGTTTCTGTAAATTTCAAATTGTCTGCATACAAACAAGCGAAACATAAAATATTCAATACATGTGAAACGGGATTACAGAAAAAATTGTATCGTGGAAAGATATTGCATGCAACGAAATAACGATGATTGCTTAACTCGATAAGATCAATGTGCTCCTTTGTTTTCATTTTTTGTATGATTATGTATTATTTACATTTGGTAGTGTATACCGTTACTATATTCTATTTATTTACCGCCTCAAAACCTAAGAATGACCACTTTAAAGAATTATTTTCTGGTCAGTCATATTGTCAGAGGAATGTAATTTTCCGAGTGTCACGTGTAAACATTTTTTTTTTCTTTTTTAAGGAACAGTTTGCGTTTGTTTTCAAATATTTTATATATTTCCGAGTAATGTTTATATATGATGCATTTTTTTCGTTTATACGCCAAAACATATACAGGGTGTTCGGCCACCCCTGGGAAAAATTAACATGAAGTTGTTTTAAAAGTTGATTTCCTTCTGAAATTTATGATAGCAGATATGTACAGTATTTGTCGCCAATAGAGTAAATAGTAATTATAATAATAATAGTAATTGGTCAAAACTGTATGTACTCCATTTACCACATAAATTCATTTTGAGACACGCAATAAGACGAATAACAAATAATACGAATATACGGTTCCAATAAAAAGGGAAGGAAAAGTTAAGAATAAAATTTGTCAAGTAATAAACTTGAATGAAATTCAAGCACAGTATTATGTCTTAACCTCTAGATCAAACAATTTTTTTATATCCTTTATAGTTTTTGAAATAATTTTGTGTGTATGCTTAAATCAGAGATATCGTATCTATGTAAGTACATCGAAGTGTATTTTTTCTTCTATGAAAACATAAGAGATACTCTTCGACTGTACGGCAGTATTACGAAGGAATCACTTTAAAGTTTTGTGACTTTCAAATTCTCGCGCCGATAAAGCGTAATTTTCACGGGTACAGGGAAAAGAATTAAAGGCCATTGGAAGTACTTGCTCGAGGCTTTCTTCGAAATCATATGGTGCTGAATAAAAACAAACAAGAAACGAGAGGAAAAAAACAGATATAGAAACTACAGTTTCTAAAGGAGAGAAAGAGAGAAAGAGAGTGTGTGTATAAGTAGAATGATAGAAAAATTAGATGACGCAAATAACGAGGAGAAAGAGAAATGCGAATGCTGCCGTTTCAGGCAGAGGAGATTGTTATATGAAACGTGATGTTTGGAATGCCTTGTATATGTGCCAGTTATTTCTATTTCTATTATTATGATAATTATATTTGCAAATAACGTAAAGCTTTATTTTCGCTGCAATTACTTTATCAATTATGTTATCCAAAACAGAAGGAATATATTAATTATCCAAATGTTGATGCCAACAATTTTGAACCTTTGCTTCGATGCTACATTTTTCAAATCCTTTGAAACGTCATAGTCACGATGATTTCTTTCATAAACTTCATTTATACAGCTTTGAATTTAAAAAAGTTAATATTTTCACCAAACTTATTTTACGTAAACGTTTCAAAGGATTAGTCAGGAATTAAACCATATACATATATATGTATATACCGGGTGTTCGGCCATCTCTGAGAAAAATTTTAATGAGAGATTCTAGATAATATTAGATTAGACGAAAATCAACAAATTGATATTCTTGATTTTCGTCGTATTTTGGCCTCTAGAATCTCCCATTAAAATTTTCCCCAGAAGTAGCCAAACACATTGTATATATATATAATATGCAACCTTTCCTCAGATTATAGCTCATTTAATGTAATTTACTATGTATTTATGTTACGCATGTCAAGATGAAGTAAAATTCTGTGGGTTTGCATTCATTTGAGAGTCCTTTCTGATTGGCATCAACCACTATAATATTACACGGATCATGTAATAAGCTATTATACTTGTAACTTGATTTCCTTGATTTTGAATTAATAAAAAGTTAGGATGCGATTAAGAAATATTAATCGTTTGTTTTTTCTGTTTAATAGATCCTTCCCTTACTTACCCGCATCTTCGACCTGCTTTCCCGATAAATTACTTCATACCGGACCATTAAATTTTAGCTATGTTCCGGGTCGAAATTTTCTTAGATGTTCGTAAAAAGTGAAACGCAATCCAACTCGTAATTTTTAATTCACCTAATGTATAATATTATTTTATATAAATTTGTAAAAATATTTTTATCCTTGTATTATAAATTCACTGGAATTATACTGACCTACTTTTTATATTTAGATATTTAAATAAGAATATACATACTAAAATATTTGATTTTTGTTCATTTATACGCACAAAAGTCTTAGAAATAAAAGTGGAATTGATGAACATAAAATATTAATCATTCTTAAAAGTGTGTTAACTACGTTTAGAAACCCAACAAGGCATAAAAGTAAGAATATTTTTTATCTTTTGTGAGAACAGATAAGATGCATTTTCCACCTGTTATCTGATATTTCTTATCGAAACGTTGATTCACTACGGATTTCATATCGCGTAGTGTTCCAACGCGATTACAACGTTACTCACCTAATCATTTCAACCACAAGTGACATTTAATTGTATTACTTTTGGCAATTTGCATAGTTCCGAACAAAAAAAATGTGTTCCAGGAAATTGGTTTGTTACTTTGCCATTGGCCTATGTAAGTAACTATATTAATTTATGTAGTATTTGAAGATTACCAATTTAAAAAAAACTTAGAATTATGTACAATACCGCGTATTTTCATGATATTTTTTAAAGAAATTTACTAGTCAAATCAACATATTTCTACATAATATAACATTTCAAAATATGTAAAATGTATAAACCTCGGTGCAAAGACGAGTCGCTTTTCGACGTGCAATTATATGCCTTCTTTATTTTTTTTTAACCGAAAAGAAAAACATACAACATAGCATCAAAAAACTTCCATATAGGTTGTATACATACAAATACAAAATCGGCATTATTTCACATAACCCATTAATTTTAAACAGTAATCATGGGCATATTTATGGACGAAGTTGATGCGAGACGCAAGATTTTAAGGGGGCGGAAAACGATTACAAGACGCTACTACTGTAAGTCGATAATACTAAACCAAAGAAGTGAAATGTAACATTGTGTACAATAAATTGTGTTTAATCTTTTAGGGGGTACTGCAATACCAGCATGGTCTATAGTACTTTTAATAGGAATAAGTATGCTGTTGGCCGGCGGTGGACTGTATGCAGTACTACAGAAATTTGTAGTTGATAATGCTGAAGTTGGAGAAAGACATTCGTATCAACCAGCATTGCAAAACGAAGCTTGAATTCAAACATGAGGGCATACAAATATTTTAATCAACGTTCGTTACACCATTTTTGATATCTTAGAAAGATAGCATCGAATTATTTGCACAGAAAAAATTTTGTATAAACACAGTGACAATATGTTATTTATTTCTCTATATTTCTGCCTTTCACAATCATCTATTATTTTAATCTTACTAATTGATTATCGAAATTTAATAATATCGCTACTCGTATAATCGTATCTTTCGTATTATTTGTATCTTCTTACTAGTTCAAAATTGAGAAATATCTTGTATGATAATTTACGCATTATTTATATATGGTTATATTAACGAAAGATACGTAAGTTACAACAAAAGATTATTCGACGCGCAGTACGATTGAAAATCAATTACATTCTGCTTTGTACAATTCTGATAAAAGAAAATTATTAATTTTCGGACTTATACGATTATTCGTTCAATATATATATTATACATTAGTAGTCAATTATTAATTGGTATGAAAAGAGAAATCTATAATTTAGAATTCTCTGCGATGATACTTGTCAGGGTCAAAGTATGACGTCACAACAACACGGTTATTGAATTTTCGTCCTGTAAGAGTTTGCTGCGCCTTCTGACAGTCAATCACGCTGTTAAATTCGACGAATACCTATAACAAATACATAAAATTGTAAAAAATGTACGTTTTCAAACTAAAAAAAATTCGGTACAAAACATACTTTTCCACATCCAGGTACATCAACACCTTCTATAGGTCTGGGTATTTCCACAGATCGAACCACACCATACTTGTTACATTCTTCTTTAATGTCTTCTAAAATATCTTCGTATTCTTCTTCTTCCATTAGTTCCTCAGGCGTGACCATGTTCAGCAGGCAAAGCACCTATATTATACATAGACAATAATAGTAGTTTTGATTATATACAATTTTTTATAAAATAAAAGATCACTTTATTTAGTTTACTGCATTAAAATTAATAGAAACGAATACGTTAAAATATTCTCCTTCCTTGGGTCGAATAGTCTTGTTACAAATTAAAAGGAATTATAATTAAAAATATTTTACCTCGGTTGCTGGTCCACTTGTGCCCACCATAGATAACCCAGGCACCTGAATTTGAACTGGAGCTTGTGCGCCAATCATAGGATTCTTAGCGCCTACGCTAGCTCGTTGTACAATTAATTTCTTGTCTCCTAGCTGCATTCCATTTAAACCAGCAATTGCTTGATCAGTCATTGACACGTCAACATACTCGCAGAATGCATAACCCTTGGATAGACCTGTAGCTGAATCCTTTACTAGATTGAACGCTCTCAGTTGTCCAAAACTCATCAGTAACTCCTTCACCTGTATCGTAAAAATGTGTTTACTTATTTATTTATATCATATAAAGATGATCTAAAACAGTCGTGATTATGCAACTTCTTCCTTTATATCCCACATTTTAATAGAACTAATGATTATTTTCTTTTCTTTAATAACGTATAACATTTATAAAAATTACAATTATGCGAATGATGTAATAATTTGAATATAACTATATACTTTGATCAACTATTTAGAACTAAAATTAACTCATGGGTAACAGATTCGAAATGAAATTTGCAAAATTTTTTAATTTAACCATCGTTTTCCATTTTAGACGTACATTTGTGAAAATACTGTACTTTAAAAATAATGTGGAAGCTGCATAATCCAAAAATAATGAAATCACTATGAATGCATTATATCTCGCTTATCAATGCCCACTTAACATCTTCATATAATGCCTTCCTTACATACAGAAGAGTAACATACAGAGGCAACGTTTCCCAATTTTTGCGAAACCAAATTTGAGGGTACATACGCGACATTAGCACATTTATACAATAGAAATCTATATACGTGAACGTAGCTCAATTATATTTGGTGTTTGATTTACTAGCTAGTTACAATATCCGATACGAATTTAGTCTTTCAATAACTACTGGAAGATCCTTGTAGAGCCTCAGTGCCTAACCAAGAATCTAAAAACCGAATTTTCAACAAAAAATAAATATGTCTTGACATAGAGAAGAGTTTCCCGAATGTGGTGACATATAATTTATTAATTGTTTCTAGTCTTAATAATTAATATCAAAGTTTCAAAAAATGCCAATTTTCATTGTTTCAGCAGGGTCAAAGCTATATATATATATATAAATATAGCCGATAAAACGAAAATTCTATCTTTTAAGACTAATTAAAACCATCTAACGTTTTTACTTTCTGTGTATGGGAATCATGTCTGAAACCTTGATCTTAGCATAGACTATAAGAGCCGTCTGAACGCTCCCATTAAATTAATACAAGTATTCTCGTATGAAAGGAATGAAAAGGTCAAAAACTTTTGCCTACTCTGTACGTCTAAATAGTACCAACATCAGCAACATTGCCTCGATGGGGTATGTTCAAGGTTCCCGAAATTGGGATATGAACGTTAAAGGTTCCGACTGAAGTATCGCCTCTGTATGTTACTCTGTATCTTCGTCAATGTTTTGACCAGAACACTCTTTCTCTTCAAATGCGGATTTCTCTCACATTCATTTCTATGCTCGCTTCAAAAAGGAGTGTACCTTAAATTTACTTACGTCTTTCCATTTCCCAGTAGTACTGAAAACTCTGAAGCAGAGATAACAGCATGTTGCATTTAATGAAGATTTACTGTTATTCCTGGGAATAAAAATTTCCAGGTAGCTGTGATGTATGCAGCTTTATAACAGATGTTTAATAAGCATTTCGGTTCATTTTATCAAGCGATATGTAAATGCAGCCTGATGTGTCTTGGCTAAAGCATTATATAACAGTGATTGGTAACATAATCTGAGAAGTTATATAATATAACCAAAACATTCCAAGCATCTGTGTACATATGCTCCGATAAGGACTATATCATCATGAAGACGTTAGATTTGAATCTGTCCTAGATATTATTAGCACCAGGTGACAGCCACTATTTTAGATGGCTATAGAAGTTTCAAACTTCTATAAAGATTCTATAACAGAAACTATCCCTTTTACCATTCAATGTTTCCTATTGCATCATTAATGTCCGTACGAATAAGCAACACGCTATTATCAGTGAAAAACTATCGAATTAGACAACGCACCATTTGTGTAGAAGAACCAAGATCTTCAGAAAATGGGCTGCAAAAGTCGCATAAGCCCAATATGGAGGCATGAAAATGATATAAGTACTTGCCTCGAGGGACTGGGCTAGCCTCTCTCCAGGCAGTGTGGTATTTTGTCATGTTCAGTAGTAGTAGTAGTGGTAGAAGTAGTGGTAGAAGTAGTGGTAGTGGTAAGCAAATGCTTTTGATCGGCGCAACCCTAAGCTAAGAAATGGGGAGAAAGGGCACTGGTATCAGTCCACAGTTGCTATATAATAACCAAATGGTTATATTTTTTGATTGTATTATTTGAACAATGTACCACTGTAAGAACACAGTTTGCATTAACTTTTCCGACGTTTAATGTAATCACATTTACCGACTTTTATTTTCTTACTTTCTCTTTGCACTTTGTCTTTGTATAAATGCACATTACTGATACTTGAACACATATGTTCGTTCGTGTAACCTGTAAACGTAACAAGACACAAGGACGAAGAGCTGTAAAGCCTGAAAAGCCTGTAAAGAAAACAGCTGCAAGAGAAATAATACTCCTGAAAAGAATAGATGCCAAAAGACTTGGAGCTGTTACCAGATGCACATAAGATTATGTGTTGACCCTGTAATCCCATCAAGAAAAAAAAATAACCGATGTACTTGATAATACGTTGATTTATTTCTTGTAGTCCTAAAAAATCTTTTTTGCACGTAACATCACTGCAAGAAAACTCATTCTGCAAAAGTATTCCAAATGTGAGAATACAAAGAACGTTTTATTTCTGAAGATAATTCTTTGCACCTAACTTGAAGGTAAATACGAATAATCATTCTTTTTGGCTAATTACTATAAGTATAAGTACAACTATTCCTCCTTTCACCTCCTACCCCTTCCTTCCATGATAAAAGTTCCTAAATTTAAAGAAAAATTTCGTATTCCCTTGGCTGGGTCCACGATGATCCTAAAATGACTGTAAAAGAAACACGACTGCTGCGACTGCATGACGCCTGAATGCTGTAACACCACTAACCATTTCCCTATCCACTATTGAACGTGTTTCGAGAAGAAATGAGAATTTCAAGATACGAGGGTCTACGATGCTTAGGATTGACCAGATACGCAAATGGGATTGAAACCTATTTCACCTAATTAAATAAAACCTAGTCGACGCTGGAATCCGATGGAATCACATACGTACCTCTATGGCATTTGGGTAGTTGACACATCTTCGTAAGATTGATCTCCGCTAAATAGCTAAATACCTATGTTATAATTTAATCCTTTGGTATAACTCACAATGCTGAGAACTAGCATGTATTCAAAGTAATTCTACAGCATTGTTATACAACGATGTAGTTGTTTTAATCTCTGATGTCATTTAGATACGTTCAACATGGTTAATGTTTTTTTTTTTTATAAATCTTATAGAATAAACGTAATAAAATGAAATTTAATTTATAAATAGACATCAGTGGATAAAAGCTACATCCAAAGGTGTGCAATAAATAAAATTATATTATAGATTTGTGTGCATACCTGTTCTTCGTTCAAATAATTGGGTAAACCACCAATGAAGATCTTGTGTGGAGAATCTAAAATGATAGAATACTATGTTACATTTTATATAACGTTACAAAAAACATTTTTATAACATATGTAAAGGTATAAAAAGTATGTATTAAACATACCAGGAACCATACCTGGCACGTTCATGCTTGGATTATCAGTCATTCCTGGCATTGGTTGATAATCATGGGGTCTTCTTATTTTTAAGCTTTGTCCTTTAAAGTTGATACCGTCAAATGCCATAGCTTGCGTTGTTTCATCTATTGATCGGAACTAAATGAAGGTACAATGAATAATTTGTCATGTAATAATGTAAGCTATAAATAACAACAGTCTTATTTCTAAGTAAATGTAATTGTACCTCTAAGAAAGCAAAGTTTTTGTCTAAATTGATTTGACATGCTAATACTGGGTTCCCAGCAGCCTGAGCAAGTCCAGACAGATGCATTTGCTGATTGAAAAACTCCATCATTTCTTCCTCGGTCACACCAAATGGAATGTTTCCTACATACAGTCTCCTTGCTTGTCGAGTTATCGTACTACCAACAACTGGTACAGCTGCTTGTGGTGTATCTGCCACAATGTTTGCTGGTATTTGTCCCGCAGCTTGCATTGCCTTATACTGTGGAAATTAAATATTAATCTTCCAAAAATGTGACTTACTTAACATTTTAATTGCAAATGGCTTCAACGCAATCATATACTGTATGTAAAATACTTTTTCCATACATTAAGCATATAATTGACTGAACACATGTAGACACTATTTGCAGTCAAAGGATTAAATCATAAATTTAACAAATTACACATATTTACCTGTAAGGGAGTAATGTGTTCAAATCCTGGTGGCGGAACATCCCAATAAAGAGACGGTTTTCTCCTCCTAGAACTACGGCCCTTCTTAGGTGAACTACTTCTTTTTCGATCTCTTCGATCTTTAGAACGTGAACGAGATCGTTTCCTGCGATCTCTACTGCGAGATCTGTGTCTCCTATCACGGTCCCTGTCCCTGTCTCTATCCTTATCACGGTCTTGGCGATCCCGATCTATTAAAAATATGCATAAATGTAAGTATCAATTACTTAGTTTTTTTTATTAATAGTAAAACTTTCAATTTTTTAAATAATTTTGAATATGTTTTTGTCTCAGACATGTATTTGTTTTGTAATTTAATACTTTGCATGCAATTTTCATTTTTATATGATTTCATGCATGCATGAATAACTCATAGAGCTATTGTCTATATATACCACTTGTAACGTATATACTATGTGCATTCATTACCTGAACCTCAAAAGATTAAAATTATTATCAGAAAAATCACAACCATTTTCAAGTACAATTCTATATGTAAAGAAAAAACATACGGAACCTTGAATGAAATCAATAAAATAATACAACATTCTCAATGCATAATCAAAAATATACCCATGAGGACAATCTTCGTCGATGCTTGTTTTTCAGGTTATTGATTAATTCCCAAAATCTCGCGAAAAATATTCAGATGTTTATTAATTCGCGTTGAAATTAATTATAAACGGTTCACAATTTGATCTTTTAGGAAAAAAAATTATAAAGGGAAACGCTTCGAGATGTGTTTACCACTTTCACGAGTATGTTTCTCCGGCCATTACAGTCAACCGACTTATTTACCTGGCAGTAACGCGGGAACAGTGTTGGAGGGCACAGTACTTTTAGAGATATTTAGGATACTTACCTCCATTGAAATCTTCGCCCATTTTTCTACTTATTATTTCGAACACCAAATTTGTTCCCAATAGGTAATAATATAAATAGCAATGAGAGTAGCAAATGTCAATCACTCTAAAACCAAATTTTTATTCCGAAATGGCGATAGGCTAGGTAAATGTTAGCTAGTGAATAAGAGTCCTGATTCAATGTTCGCCTCCAGATGGCGTAAAATACAACCGGAATTGATCTTCTCGTACATTATTGTAATAGCTATTTAAATATAAACAATTACCCGAAAACAAATACAAAAAAAATCACTCCTAATTTAATGCCATACATTTGCAACATAAAGTTTCGTAACATTGAGATGCAGAAATACGTTTTAGATAAATTTCAGATATTTCTACATATACATATACCTTTTATAAACTACCACTGAGGGTGCTAAGATCAGTGTTACCAGACTGAAGACCGGTGGCATCAAAAAATTGCCCTTCCACTTACATACACTAATGCGCAGCCACGTGTACTTGAGCTGCAGCATTTCGATACGTCGTGAAATTAAGAAAGAAAGCGAATGTAAGCCTTTCTTTGTCGCTCTCGAATCACCCTCAGTCGAGTTATCGCTGTGTCGGCGAACGGCATCCATTTTTTATCGATTCGCATATTTTTCTAAACAGCTGTAGACGAGCAACTTTTTATACGACACGATTACACATCTGGCTTTATTGTTTTCAATCGGAAAAACATGATCATACGTCAAAAATCGCTCGTCTGCATCGAGCCTAAAAGTACTGTTGGGTCATTTTAAGCCAAACAGCATTACGATATATAGAGGTTGACTCGATCGCTAGTGTACTCAGAGGCCGTGCCGCCATCTAAACATCGCGGCAGGGGTGTTTTGTTCCACATAAATGTCTTCACTGTGGTAGCCAAGTTATCGTGTAAGGATAGAAGACCCCTGCTGCGATCTTTAAATGGCGACACAATCTTTGAGTATATACACTAGCGAGCGAATCGCTTTGTACGATTTTGACTGACTTTCTTACTTTTGAAGACAGTAGACCCAGAGGTGCCAGAAAACCACCGACGGTGCCCTACTCACACATGCCAGATCACGCGTACGTAGCTCGTGGAGTTTCGGAAAGTCGACAAAGGCAAACTGACACATGCCCCCTTTCTCGATTCTCCGAAGCTGCCCGAAGTAATTTCGGACCATCTCGTCGGAGTCGAGAGAGACAGGCTCACATTTGCCTTCGCGATCTTGAACAACTGAAATTCGACCTCACGTCGACGGCATACGATTCCAAGTCTCGACTGGCCAGGTATTTTTTATTTTCCGACCTATGTATGTAGACGAACATAAGCAAGATACTATAATATATTCATATTTGAATTATTGAAAAAAAATAAATTCATTTTTATTATTCCTATACAATGAGCGTACATATGTATATCATTTCAGATATCACTTCTGATACATCTGGCGACGTATAACCATTACTACTGGCTACTGTCAGCCTCTCGCAGCCTCTGCTGGCTTCTGCTGGCCTCTGCCAACCTCTGCCAACATGTGCGGGCTTCTGCCTGCCTCTGCTGGCCCCTGCTGACCACTGCTGACCACACCTGATACTTCCGACAACGTATAACAATTACGATTGACTTCTGCCTGCCTCTGCTGGCCCCTGCTGACCACTGCTCACCACCCCTGATGCTTCCGACAACGTATAACGATTACAACTTACCAGTGCTTGCCCCTGCTGGTCTCTGCTTGCCTCTGCTTGCCACTCCTTGCAACTGCTGGCCTCCGCTGGCCTCCGCTGGCCTCCGCTGGCCTCTGCTGACCACCACCAATGCTTCCAACAACGTGTGACAATTACTACATGTTACTGCTTGCCCCTTCTGGCTTCTGCTGGCCCCTGCTGACCCCTGCTGACCACTGCTGGCCACTGCTAGCCTTTGTTAACAACTTCTGACATGATATATATGTATTAAAACATTGTATAATGTAAATCTATGGCAATAAATGATATAAGTACAAAGAATTCTATGTGTTCTCATCATTTTTTACCTTTCTTTTCCTCTCCAAATCATTACCTTAGTTATAAGATACGTGCCACCTCTTCCCATATCATGCCCTCCTAATAACAAAGTCTAAAATGAATCTAAAACTGCCACCGCCATACCTACCGTCGATAAACGATACTTATTCATTTATTCAGTAACCGTCAGCTCTCGTACTTGCTGCCAAAATAAAAAATTAACTTTAAAATTTTTTTTTCTGTAACCGTCACTCTTGTAAATCGGCGAAATTTTCGAGCAAAAAATTTTTGGCGAAAAAAATGAATTCTCGATTTTGCCAGCAGGTACGAGAGTGACGGTTAAAGAAAAAAAAATTTTAAAACAGAATTGGGAAATCGGTGAAATTTTCGAGCAAAAATTTTTTGACGAAAAAAATGAATTTTCGATTTTGCCAACAGGTACGAAAGTGACGGTTACAGAAAAAAATTTTAAAGTTAGTTTTTGATTTTGGCAGCAAGTACGAGAGCTGACGGTTACTGAATAAATGAATAAGTATCGTTTATCAGCGGTAGTAAATTTTTGCTCGAAAATTTCGCCGTTTTGCCAATTCAGATGTGGCCTTACCTTGACCTTGACCTTGACTCTCAAGGCCATTCGAATTTTAAAAATATTCTGGACACTTTGGGAATCCAATTTTAATCGGAAAAACGGTCTCTTAAAACTAAGGCAATGATTTGGAGAGGAAAAGAAAGGTAAAAATGATGAGAATACATAGAATTCTTTGAAATTATTTCATTTATTGCCATAGATTTACATTATATAAAGTTGTAATACATATACATCATGGCAGAAGTTGTCAATAAAGGTCAGCAGTGGTCAGCAGCGGTAAGCCGGGGTCAGCAGGGGCCAGCAGATGCATGTGGAGGCATGTAGAGGCATGTAGAGACCAGCAGGAGTAAGCAGTAACACATAGTAATTGTTATACGTTGTCGGAAGTATCAGGAGTGGTCAGCAGCGGTCAGCAGAGGTCAGCAGAGGCATGTAGAGGCATGTAGAGGCATGTAAAGGCATTTAAAGGCATGTAGAGACCAGCAGGAACAAGCAGCAACACATAGTAATTGTTATACGTTGTCGGAAGTATCAGGAGTGGTCAGCAGCGGTCAGTAGGGGCCAGCAGATGCCAGCAGAGGGATGTACAGGCATGTAGAGGCATGTAGAGACCAGCAGGAGCAAGCAATAGCAAGTTGTAATCGTTATACGTTGTCAGAAGTATGAGGAATGGTCAACAGCGGTCAGCAGAGGCCGGCGGAGGACTGTAGGAAAATTTAAAAGTACATGTAGTCGTACGTTATACATCGTACCTTTTACCTTATACTTCAGGTAAAAAGGGGTATAGTAAAGTAAAAAATACCTGGGCAGTCGAGACTTGGATTCGTATGCCGTTGACGTGAGATCGAATGTCAGTTGTTCAAGAGCGCGAAGGCAAATGTGAGCGTGTCTCTCTCGAGTCCCACGAGACGGTCCGAAATTACTTCGGGCAGCTTCGGAGAATCGAGAAAGAGAGCTAATGTCAGTTTGCCTTTGTCAACTTTCCGAAACTCCACGAGCTCACGTAAGTACGCGTGATCTGGCATGTGTGAGTAGTGCACTCGATGCTGAATCTGGCATCACTGAGTAGACCTGGACACTTTTAAAATATTCTTATTTGAAATAACTATATTATTTCAAGTAACTAGTTTCTTTATTTCATGGTTATTTCATTTCTGAAACATTGAATGTATATAATTTCATTTCGGTTTCTAGTACGTATTTAACGCACGGCTGGGTATAACTGTGGGTAACTGAAACAAAGTTCGCCTCGGCGTGAAATAACCCAACGTTACGTTTAAAGAACCCAGGCACCAAGCTTGCTGTTTAGAAAAGTCAGTTAAGGTCGTATATGACGTAAGTTCTGTCATTTGTCAGTGATTCAAGAGCAACAAGGAAAAGTTGACATTTGCTTTCTTCCTCGACTCACCGAAGCTGTCAAAGCGCAGGAGCTCACGTATACGTGACTGCACATTAGCGTGTGTAAGGCGTGGAGCAACTCCCGGGTGGCATCGGTCTGTAGTCTAGTGACACTGGTTTAGATAGATAGCATCGAAATTGAATAGTAACCAAGTTTATGTCACCGAATGACGTTCTCTACCTTTGTTTCAAAATGTTTAAGATAAATTCGAAATGGAAAAATCTGTAAATCTCATAGACTTAGTTTCAGCTTATGATAATATGGAACATAAAAAAGTATTATTGGGAGGAGATTTAATGAAAGCAACTTGTCTTCGTAACATAGAGAAGGTTAAAAAATTGCTTAGTTTAGGTGCTGATGTTAATTCAAGATACTTTGTTAATGGATGGTATTATTATAATAATTTGTTGTATAAAGTTTTTATATCTCTATTATTACTATTAATTGTAAAGTGTAAAATTGAATAGTATAAGTGTATAATTTCTTTCCATATGTGTATGTAATAAATTTATATACATAGTCTTTTGTATTAAAATTATCGAAATAATAACATAAGTGATATTTCCTGATTTAGGACTCCTTTACATTGGGCATGCTTTGTAGGTTCTTTAGATATAGCAGCCTTACTCTTAAAGAATGGAGCAGATAAAAATATAAGATCTATAGCTGCAGAAACTCCAATGTCTGTGTGTACGAATCCACAAATTCTGCAACTTTTGAGTGCATCCATGGATCCTCAGCTTGGTTTAAATGACTCAACGGTACACGATGCTATACCCAAATATTTAAAAAATGATTTTGTACATGGAACTGCAGATTCAGGAATTCCCAAAGTAAAAAGCAATAGCATATATCTAGATGGTAAGAAATTTATTATAACTTGCTTTTGTATAGAAATATCAATAAGCCAAAGTAATATTGAAATCAGATATTACATTAATTTGCTTTATTTTTAGAGTTAGTGTTAAAGATTCGTGTGGCAGATGCTCCTGATCCAGACTTCATAGAAATTGAATTACCTCAGAGTGATTTAACATACCAGGCACTAATTCGGGTATGTTGTCAAGAATTAAATATCGATCAGAATCAAATTGTAAAACTGAGAAAATTGCCCAATACAAAATTAAGAAAAGATGAAGATATTCAACGACTTCAGAACTTTCAAGAAATTGAAGTTGTCACAAATGTGGGTAATACGTACAGTTATCTTCAAAATACAAATGGTATTCCAAACAATATTTCAACAATGCCAACAAATGGATACCAAAGTATTTCTAAGAAAGATCAGACTATTTTGTATTAATTATTAGTGTCATAGGTTGTTTTTATCTTTTGTTTGTATGTATTAAAATTAAGGAAACATTAATAGAAATATAGTACATACAAGTAGACATGTAATATGTAGAGTGAAATTAAAAATTTTAATTAATTATAAAATGCTTAGGTAGACCTAATAATTAAGATAAGAAAGATAATTTTTTAACTTTGTTTACTAGATTTAATAAAATGATACAAAAAACATTACAATTTTTTCTTTATTTACTTTCTTCTGATTCTTATTCTTTTTTCTTTTTCTTCTGGTCCTCATTTTTTCTTCTTTTAAGAGTAACATCACCTTCGGGAGTAACAGTTACAAGAACATCCTTAGTAAAAGTACTTAATTCGTCTGTTACTTTACGATATGCTTTTGGTCTCGGTGGCTGTACTATTGGTATTTTAACAGAATTTTTATTCTCTAAAAGAAAAATCATATTAATGAATAAGTATATAAAAACAGAATTTTTAGTAAGATTTAATATAAGTAAGAAATAAAACTGACTCAGTGTTACATAAATAGGAAGAGCAAGACTACGGGCTGTTTTAATAGAAACAGAACGGACATTAGCCCAGCCTCCTGGATAATTTTTAGATAAATGTTTACACGCTGCTAGTACATTGTCCGAAATTTCTTCTTCTGTCATGGATGTATGCCCAATCTGAACTATATGAGTATCGCCGTAAGAATGCAATTGCATAGAAGTCTTTCTCAAAGCATATTCTATTTCATGCTTCAAATCTTTACTCAATATCCTAATAGATGTTGGTAATTTTCTTCTTTTGTAAAATTCTTTTCCCAATAAATGAGATAAGTGACCAGCTATTTTTCCATCTACAAGAAAATGATCATAGCTGCCCACAAGTTTCCTTTTCAATTCATATTGATCATACTCTGTTTTTACTTGATTCATTGGTATTACAGCATTTATGCTTGTACAATTATGTTTACGTAGCAAGTCTTGATAATGTTCTACCGTTGGCTCATAATCTTTTCTTCTGCCTCTTTGTAAATCTCCAACAAAAAGTGCAACTTCATCGTTTGATGATACAATTGAATGTGGTAACAATCTGGAAACGAAATTGACACTTTACTTAAGTAATTTAAAAAATACACAGCATTGTATAATTGAAAGCAAGAGGATTATTTATAAAATAAACAGAATAAGGGCCTATACTTACATTCTCATTTGTCTCCTTGGTGTTTTTGGTATTCTTATACATGTTACTTGCATAAATATTGGATAACATTCCCCTTCAAATAATAAACTTTTACTTTTCAATTGTTCTTCGGTTAAATGAAAAATAGCACCAATGCACTGTAATATGTGTTCTTTTGATAAATCATTCAAGTTTAAGATATCTGTACTTTCTTGAGTGCTATCTATTTTTCTCCGTTTTTTAGATGAACGCTGAGCAGTAAATACACTATACTTATCATAAAATGTATCGTCATTTAAAGAACGTTTCCGTTTAAGTACATGATTTAATATTTTATAATTCTTCTTTTTAGTACTTTCTTCATGTTGCAATTTTAATTTTTCATTGGTATCCACGTGGTCGTTAAATTTTGTGACGTTTGCTTTTTTAAATCCATGAGTGTTTTTCTTTCGAAATTGATGAAGTGCTGATTTATTTAGTGTGTTCGTTTTTACTTCACCTTTTTTAACTAGTTTCTTGTTAATTAAATTTGTATTTTTACGTTCTTCATTCGTTAAGTCGTTTTTAACCTGTCTGGTTTTCATATTTGTATTTATATTTTGTTTTACTTTCTTTGTACTCAATTTCTTTGCCTTGAAATCTGAATGCAGTTTTTTATTCTTCACATTTGAATTGCGTAATGTTTTCACAGATTCTGTGCGTTTCTTAACAATATTGGGAGAAATTGCCATTTTTTCACACGCGTGTTACAACTTCCTCTTGACACATCGATTCCATTACCGGAAACGAAAGATTGATCGGAAACCGACCAATGGGATTCGCTCTTTTTAGTGCGCATGTCCAGCAATGTTGACGAACGTAAATTTTCATATAAAATTGTAATAATATAATTATATAACTATAATTTTTCAAATAAAATTAATGTAATAAAACTATGTTTATCACTTTTTTTACTTTTTATATTTCTATTTTTTGCTTAGCGCAACAATAGGACAATCAGTAAATTTCTAAGCGTTATATCTTGAAAACTAATAAAAATCGGGTAAATAAATTGCAGGTTAATGAATTCGTCTTGAAAAACACTATCGCACGATCCAAAAAAAAATATATAGTTCCATTTAAAAAACGAAACTTCACCGTCGTATCTTTTAAATTAATAACATAAACAAAATTTTTGTTTACGCCAAAATAGAGATCCCAGTTTATCCTGCAATTTACATATAAACAATTTTTTCGTATCATCAATAGTTATTGAAATATCGCGGCTGTCACACTTTAGCGTGGACACAGGGTGTTAGGCTACCTATAGTAAAAATTTTAATGAGCGATAGTAGAGGCCAAAATAAGACGAAAATCAAGAATACTAATTTGTTGATGGAGGCTTCGTTGCAAAGTTATTAACGTTTAAAGTTCCGCCTGTAGAATGACAACCCGCTAACGCTGCGTTCTACTTACCGACATTATCGACAGCGTTAGATTTTTATCCACTTATGGAAATCCGAACACCTTATGTTGAATAAGATTCAACCTGTCTTATGAAAATCCAGAAGGGCATATGAATGTAAATATCAGCCGATACATTAAATAACGTAGGCCAGTCCTTACTTCATTTATTTAAAAAATGCTGTCAAACGCTAATGTCAGTACGAATTTTAGAATTATTTAAATTTAAATATCTCCTAACCTTACTTGCTTTTAGACATATGTACAAAGGTCAGTACTTTTTTTTATAAGGAATGCCTAGCTGCATCGTTTGATGTATAAAAAAATACCTCATTCCCTTTAAAAAAAACAAAGTTGACCTTCATATAACCTTGACGCGTCCGTCTACGAAAAAACTAATAGCACAAGAATATGCCCCACTCGATACCATTTAAGTTCCCTATGAAAAATTTATATAATAATATCGAGGAAATGGAGGTGTAAAAATCGGCTGAGACACCCTGTACATGTGGATAGGCAAGTATGAACATCGGTTGTATAGAAACGATGCGACGCGGCCCCCTGTGGATTGCACGTGTCACTCGAATTCGATTGACACGGCAGTCAACGTGTTAATATCAAAACGGAAAAGTAGCTCCGCGAAGAACAGAAACGCAGTCAAGACCAAGTACCGATATGCTTCGGTTAGCACTCCCTACCGTCGCGCAAGTTGCTCGAAAGTGATGCTCGAAACGATGCTTAGAATTCCGCGATACGTGCGACTCCTGCTGTTTCTATGCATCGGTTCGACAATTCTTTGTGCCGTTTTTATCACTTTCCCGAAACTAATTGGCGATAAGCTCGACGAGGTAACATCCGCGATACGAACGGAACATGGCGAGCAAATACAGGAAGTCTCGACGATACCGATGAGAAAGCGAAACTTTACCCAAGACCAGGTAAGTACGTTGATGTGTAATTGCCGTGAAACTTTATTAAAACAACATATTTCTCTTCTTTTATTTTTAATGGTATCAGGAAAATAAAAATACTTGTTTGGACGTTGTAAATAATTTGATGAAATTTTCAAGGACAAGTCCAAAAATCGAATGTCGCTGTTCTGTACAGTACTTTGTTTTTACATTTTTTATATACAATTAAAAGCAGGACTATATTTAAATTTAAATCTCACACATGAAACAGTGCAACAAGCAACTGCTTTGTCAGTGAGAAGTTTAGATACGAATTTCTCACGATTTCGCTATTCTTGTCAAGTTTTATTTAAAACAATTAAGAGGGGACTCTCGTGTAACAGCGTTAAAATTTAAAAGTTCTATATATTTTTATTATTAAACAATACGAAAATAATTTTTTATTACCTTTTATTAAATAGTAGTTAAGTCTTTTAATGCAACAAACGAAAAATTTTCTTAAGGCTGGTTGGTTCCCACTTGTACTGAACTTATTTTAAACACAAAATATGGAGAATTTTAAAAACTATAACATTTTGAAGAAAAAGTTTCTACACCAAAGAAAATGTTGTGGCGTCGCCTCCCATGCTCGCCACCAGAGGGGTCGCGCTCTCACAAGCGCTCGACCGACCCCTCCGTTGCTATATATACACTCCTCGAACGACTTCCCAATATCCCAGTCGTCTAAGGCAGGGCCTGCTAGAAAGCCTTACTGATGAGTCCACTGGCAGGCCCGGACGAAACGCGCCCCCTCCTTTCCTTTTCTGTTCTCCTACGAATTCTCACGAGATCCCCTACCCGCAGCGAAGCAGCGCCACAATTGGTGACCCGGACGGTGAATTGGACAACTAGGAAGCAGCTCGAGAATTTTCCAGGAAACCGCAGACCCGCACGCAGCGTAGGACGAAGGAGGCAGCGCCGAACAATCGTGTCTAATCGTACTAGCAAATAGCTCCTTTCGTAATCCCTCTCCTAAGGTGGCCTTTCGTTCACTCGATCGCTCGGTCCTGACCAAATCTACCTGACGAGGCCGTCGTCTCCAGGAGGACACAGATTGGCAGGATTCGAAGCAGCAGCAATAGCACGCATAGTGGGGCCACAGGTAGGACAGCAGCATATACGCTCGATGACTTCAGGAGCGCAAGGCACGAGGACGACTCGCCGCGCCAGACGATCAAGAGAACGACCACGCAGCAGCCAGAAATCACGCAATATCCTACGGCAATAGAATCGAAGTTCTAGCCAGGATCAGAGAAAAAATCTCCAGTGATCGTCAATCGAGATAGAGGCGCTATACGAAGACACGACGACGACGACAAGTCCCAGAGGAACGGAACAACTGTAGATAATGTACATAGTATTCGATAAGTCCTGTAAATAGTAGACTTAATCCGGTATCGTTAGCACTGGCAGGGGGGTAATGTGGCGTCGCCTCCCATGCTCGCCACCAGAGGGGTCGCGCTCTCACAAGCGCTCGACCGACCCCTCCGTTGCTATATATACACTCCTCGAACGACTTCCCAATATCCCAGTCGTCTAAGGCAGGGCCTGCTAGAAAGCCTTACTGATGAGTCCACTGGCAGGCCCGGACGAAACGCGCCCCCTCCTTTCCTTTTCTGTTCTCCTACGAATTCTCACGAGATCCCCTACCCGCAGCAAAGAAGCGCCACAATGTTTTTCTTCAAAATGCTATAGGTTTTAAAATTAACATCATTAAAGTTAACATCGCCGGATAGGATCAGAAGGCTTAATTTCGTAAGATAAAGAATTTTATTCGTTCGTTCATATAATCGAATTCAATTAACTAATTCACTTACAAAGTAATCAATATACGCCTTTATCTGTATTAGATTAATAAAATGACTTTACTTGGGAGGTGGCTCTTATCTTTTGAGGGACACTCACCACCACCGATAGTTAATACGAAAAAGGAGCCATATTTAATTTTAATCTGGATGCATGGAAAGTTCTTGGAACGCAGACACATCAAACGCTTTACAAATAATAAGTTAATGACAGATTAGAATTGCAATAATACATTAGAGAAAACAAAAAAGAACGATTAAATGATTCATTTGATCAGCTTCTAAACTAAAGTATCATTGTTTTAATATTCAAAATATCCTAACCTCAGTTTGTTGTCTTTTAGATTTTCTCCGTGGGAAAATTGTTCGATGAAAAACTGTATATTAACGTACCGTTCGAAAGATTTAGAGACAGCAGACGCGGTTGTATTTCATTTGCATCTGACAAAGGGCACGTCAGAATTGCCAACCAGACACCGGCGGGATCAAAGATGGATCTTTCTGACCGACGAATCACCAATGCATACATTCCTTTATGGGAATCAAGAAATATCGAAATATAACGGCCTATTTAATTGGTCGATGACCTATCGAATGGATAGCGACGTTCCGGTACCTTATGGCCGAGTGATTTCCAGATCGTTTGTAAATTTCTCGAAGAATTCTATAAAAAAATTAAAGACTAAACTTGTTGCCGTGATGGGTAGTAACTGTGCTGGTAGGAATGGAAGATGGAGCTACGTAAAGGAACTTAAATCGATTCTCGGAAAGGATCTGGATATATACGGAAAATGCTTAAACGGCAATGTGACCGTATGCCCGGGTCATTTCGACAGAGATTGCATCGCTTTAAATGCGTACAAGTTCTATCTGGCCTTCGAGAATTCGAACTGTAAAGAATACATAACGGAAAAAGTATTTTGGCACGGTTATCACAAATTTGCGGTTCCAATAATAATGGGTGCATCGAATAATAATTGCGAACAATTATTACCGCCTCATTCGTTCCTTCACGTTGACGATTTCGCTAACCCGACCGCTTTGGCGAACTATATCCAGTATCTTAATCGACACGATGACAAATACTTCGAGTACCACGAATGGCGTAGATATTACAAAGTAATTAACGAACACGGTTATTTTGGTAGTACATCGAGACATTATTGTCGCATTTGCGAGGCTCTCAATTACAATACTCCTGCTACAAAGGTATATGACGATATAGAGTCATTTTGGCACAAAAAACAAGATTGCACCCTCTGATATCTCCAAGTTTGATTGTTCGATTGTATGATATTATTATTACTGTTTAATATTACTTAATTAAATTGTTATTACATTTTTTTTATTTGTTAATTTTTGTTTATGCTTATTTGTTTTAGTAAATGTGTAATATTTATAGCGAATAGACTGAATAAAACAAATTAGTGCAGATCATTTATAATACTATTTAATATGTAAAATGGACTGCGCATGTTTTTTATTGTTTTATTAAATGTACATACACGAAATGTTCCACATCAAATGAAAAAATATAATAATTTACCTTGTAAGAAAAATCGTAATTTTCACGTACTTACGTTTGCACTAGTTTTCCTATTATACGTATACCTGAATTTTATGTCTATAATATATTAAAAAATTAAACATTTTTCGTAATTACACGTACGTTGATTGAGTCACTACATACATATATAGTAAAAGGTTACGAATAGTAACAATTATTTATAACTATGTAAGAAAAAAGTATTTCATTATGGATTACATCATACATTTATTATCAAGATTTGTATAATCGTAGTATTAGGTTAGAATGTTGCATTGTGTTTGTGTTAATATTGCAGATACTACAATAAAAAAATTTCAGTTCGCATTACGTAAAGATTTCCAGCAGTGTTTATACGCCACTAAAAGACAAAATCACAGTGCTATTCCCGAAAATGTTTGTTACGTGTATAGATTTGTAAATATTCCGATGCACTGTATCGTAACGTCAAAACTTTGTCACGTTACTACGATACTAAACCGAAAACAATATTTTTTCAAATTCTGGCCAACTCTTTTCTCGGTATCGTCTTACACAACTCACTGCACAAAAACTTCCGTTGTTATGGCTTTAAAGAAATTTAAAGGACAGACCGACTATTATAACGGCATAACTGTCGATTCAAACGAAGAATCTTGTACACCTGAAGTCTTTGTTAAACGTCTTACAGGTGTGTAATATTATATTCATTATATAACAAAAATTGGAAAGCACTTATTTTTATCAAATTTTAAATATTCACTACTTTTATTATTTTATTCTTTTGTTACATTTAGGCAAATTAAGTAGAAAAAGTTTTAGAATTAATGCTTGTGTTTTAAATACAAATTTATTACAGTTTCTTTACAAGACTGGATAAAAGATAAAAAACGCACAATATGGTTTCGTGTACATTTACCAAATTCCGAATGGATACCAATACTTGTAAAAGAAGGATTTAAATTTCATCACGCACAAAATGAATATGTTATGCTATATCGGTGGTTAGTTTCAGACGAAGAATGCAATGTTCCACATTATGCTCATACAAATTTAGGTGTTGGAGCATTTGTATATAATGAGAGTACTAATGAACTTTTAGTTATTAAAGAAAAATATGTAAATAAAGTAGCATTCTGGAAATTGCCAGGAGGTTTTGTAGAACCAGGTATATACTTTTATTATTAATTAAGAAATTGTTTGTTACGTAATGATATTTTTCTTTCATAGGAGAAAATTTAGAAGAAGCTGTGAAAAGAGAAGTTTTAGAAGAAACTGGTATTCAAACTACATTTAATTGTTTAATAAGTTTCAGACATGCTCATGACTTTGCTTTTAATTGTTCTGATATATACGCAGTTTGTTATTTGTCCCCTGTTAATTTTGACATAAAAAAATGTAACAGAGAAATTTCTGAATGTAAATGGATGAAGGTAATAATTTTTGTCATACAATAATTTCAAAGAAACTTGCCCGTATTATCACAAATGCATTGAAGTAATTGTCAATCGACTAATATATCAAATTACATTTTACTAAATGAAAGTGAAAGTACGCTTATATATTTGTGGTAGTATCAACTATTTTCTTTGTGTTGGTTGCACATTTATGAATGTTCTATTTATTGTTATTACTTTTTATTACTTTTGCAGTTCAATGATTACGTGGAACATTCGGAAGTACATTCAAATAATAAATTGTTAGCAAAAAAAATGTTGGAATTTTTAAACCATAGAATGGGAATTACAGTAGAGTATTTGGTACATCCAGTTCTGAAAAAACCTGTATCTGTCTACAGTATATCAAAAATTGATAACGTACAATCATGTTCAGTTACAAAATAAATAAAGCACATATATGACTTTAACTTGAAATATATATTTTTATAATTTGTATGAAGTACAAAGCGAAACAAAATTAGAATTTAAGAATTAGAACTTGTTTTCATTTTTTCTTATTAAATCCCTTGTTAAATCCTTACTGAAATATATTATACGTTGCTATTTGACATAAATTAGGTATCTTTTAAAATTAAATGTAAACAAAATTATATGTATAAAGTTCAATTCTGTTGTTGTGTTAACTAAAGCCTTTATTTACGCACAATGCTGTTTCCTTACTTCTAGCTTTGTCGAGGCGTCGAATAGAAACTGGCCCCTAAAAACACTTGGACCCAGAGATGCCAGAAAAGCACCGCCGGGTGCACACGCGCGCATGCCAGATACGCGTACGTGAGCTCGTGGAGTTTCGGAAAGTCGACAAAGGCAAACTGACGCATGCCCTCTTTCTCGATTCTCCGAAGCTGCCCGAAGTAATTTCGGATCGCCTCGTGGGAGTCGAGAGAGAAAGGCTCACATTTGCCTTCTCGCTCTAAACAACTGAAATCCGACCTCCCGTCAACGGCATACGATTTGGATTCTCGACTGGCCAGGCATTTTTACTTTCCGACCTATGTAGGCGCACATAAGCAAAGTACCCATAATGAAAAAAAAATTTTGTAAAATTTATTTTACGGAAATACACGTTTTAAGACCTCCTGATCATATTTTAATTATTGAAAAAAAAGACATTTTTTTTTATTCCCATATACCAAGTATCATAATGAAAAAAAATTTCGAAATTTTTTTTTAGCGGAAATACACGTTTTGGGACCCCCTGATCATATTGTGACTATTGAAAAAAACGATATTTTTTTTTGTTCCTTTGCTATTGACATGATTGCGTCTAAACGGCTGAATGAATTTCAATAACATTTAAGTTTTATGTTCTCGTTTTAAGGTCTCATTATATTTTAAGCGTGATCAGTTCCCATATAATGATGATTATACGTCTGTAGTTTTATAATTATTTCGATACATATACATCATTTGTAACAAATTTTTAAAGCGATTTATATAAATCTTAAGAAGGATTAAGATCAAATATACTTTTCTCCTATCTTTCCTAGACAGGAAAAATTAAACGAAATCTTATGCCTTGCATACCTACCTAAACCACATAAAAAACGTATTCCACAAATATTTTAGAATAATGTTGTTCAAAGCAGTCTTACTCGTAAAGGGTTAATTAAGGGTTAATTAAAATGAAAAACCACTCTTAGCCAGTACCGTGCACGCTACAGAAATAGATTACTACTGACTTTTCCCACTATGTTTTTTAATAACCGTATCAAATTGTTACACACAATCAAATGTTATATATTTGACTTAACTTTACATAACAAAATAATTGTAACGATAGGTAAAAGAATAACGTGCACGCTACCGTTCAATGGAAACCACGGGAAGGTGGTGGTCACTTCCATCAGGAGGGAAATGTAAAAAATTGTTATTTCTTTGTAACATTATCACATGCCATATATTAGAACGTCTATATTCTTCTTTCCTTTTTTTTTGATTCCCCTCTAAATTCATTTCTGCAAAATGAAATATATTAAATTGTCGTCTATATACTGCTATTCATTCAATAGAACTTTATTTCGTACGTGCCGTAGGTCATTCTGAGACATTTAAATTGAAAAAAAGCTTTCGCGTAGGTATTCTGTAATTTTCTGTTCTTTCGCTTTTCTGCTTTTATATCATGGAAACGGTTGTGAAATCGAAGAATAAGTGTAAGCGCGGTTTTTTTATCTTCATGGATAAATGATCATAGATTTAAATCATGGATACGTGCAGTACCCCATGTTAGAAGTCGTTTTTATTGTACTTTATGCAATAAGTCTTATTCTTGCGGTTCCTCAAACGTGTATAGACACGGAGAATCTGGGTGTCATAAAAAAAATAGTACTTCTAAAAGGACTTTTATGCCTCAATGGCTTGAGAATGATTATTTCAAGCCATGGTTGCATAAAGTCGACGGCGACCCTTATTCGTGGTTCTGTTCGGTTTGCAACAATCAATTTTCATGTCGATTATCGACGATTTATAATCATGCAGATTCTCAGTGTCACATTGAGAATTATAAAAAGAGTAACGATAACGCAGACAATTTGAATAATAATTTTACGACGCAATCCGAAGAATCGCCTCTGTCGTTGGATGAAAGGATAAAATCCGCGGAAATCAAATTTGCCAAATTAATAGCCGAAAAAAATATTCCGTATCGAACCGCAGAGACGATTCTTGAAGTTTTCAAAGACATTGGGCAAGATCCTGATGTCTTGAAACATATGTCGTTCGGTCGAACAAAGTCTTCAAATATTATATCAAACGTTTTGTATCCTTTAGAAACAAAACGTATTTCTAGTGTTTTACAAAACACTAAATTTTCTATTTATATTGACGAAACATCCGACTCGACCAACGAGAAATGGATAACGTTTCTTGTTCGTTATGTTGCACCCGAGACTTTGGATGTTCGAACGGAATTGGTAGAATTATTACATCTTGATGCCAGAAATTGTGACGCAGATAATTTATATAAAATATTTGAAATTGCCATGATAGAAAGAGAAATTCCGTTCGAAAATATTGTCGCGTTGTCATGTGACAACGCTGCTGTCATGACAGGGCGACACTCGTCCTTTATGACAAACCTTGCAACAAAATGCAGGGACAAATTTTTGACTGTCCGCTGTCCGTGTCATCTGTCTGCAATGGTAGTGCGCGAAGCGTGCAATACCATTCCAGACATATGCGAGGAGTTGTTACGAAAAGTAGCAACTTTCATATACAGTAGTCCCAAACGTTCGGCTATATTCCGCGAATTTCAGCAATGTTTTCAAACAACCGACAGAAAAATTTTAAAATTGTGTTCTACGCGATGGTTATCGCATTATACATCCGTAGTTACACTTTTAGAGAATTGGGACTCTGTATTGCTTTTTTTGCAAGAATTGACAATAAGCGAGAAATCAGAGTCCGGGGAACGTCTGTTAATCTCGATGCAAAATCCAGAGGCCAAAGCATATCTTTATTTTCTAAATTACGCTCTTGAGTTTTTTTATAAATTTAGCATTTTCTTTCAAACTCAAGAGACAAGAATTCATTTGCTTCAAAAGACTGCGGCAGAACTTTTATGCGATATATTACGCAATTTTCTGAAACCGCAGCTTTTGAAACACATGGATTTAGTAAGAATGATGAATTTTTCTGTAGTCGAAAATCAACTTCCATTTGATAGTATAAATTTAGGAACAGAGTGTCTTAATTTTCTGCATCAACTGAATGCAGAAGGCAAGTCCGACATCGTAGAAACCGTAAGGAAAAATTGTTTAATGTTTTATATTACAGCTGCAAACGAAATTCGTCATCGATTGCCAATCGATGACGAATTTCTTAGCATGTTGTATGTTTTTGAACCAACTTTTATATTAAATGATACAAATAGAGACATTTTCTTCAGAAATGTTCTCTTAATCGCTAAGAAATTCGGCGGTTTCGACGAAGAAGGACTGCAAACAGAATGGTCAGTATTGCCTTTGGAATTTACAACGAAAGGTAGACAGACGCTTATCGAGATGAAATTCGATGGTTTCTGGAAAACAATTTTATTAACGCGAAATTTGGACTATAAAATTAAATTTCCTGAATTGATGAAATTAGTAAATACAATTAGATCACTTCCAAATTCCAATGCCGATGCAGAAAGATTGTTTTCCATGTTACGTGACATAAAAACAAAGAAACGGAATAAACTTTCTTCGGCCAGCGTCAACTCTATTTGCGTTGTGAAATCTTCGTTAAAGGCGCAGAGGGAAAACTCTCAACCCATGGAGGTAGATGACGATCATCTAGCTCTATTGTATTCCAAAAATTTATATCATAGATTTGCTAAGAAGCAAAAGTGTAATTTAAGATTAAACGCAACATATGACAATAACTTTGAGAATTTTCCCGCTACGTCATATGACGAAAATTAAGGTACCGATTTACTACAGAGCTTTTCTCTAGAGAGATTTTTCTCTCCAGAGAAAAGCTCTTTAGTAAATTCGTACTATTAGGCTGCAATAACAGTATAAACGTTTTCATGCGACGTCGCGGTAGACTGGTCTTGTTACGTCAACGGTACCGTGACGTAGGCGCAACAAGGTGTGATGCATGTATGTGCCATAACGTCACGCGAAAGCGCTTACACTGCGACCGCAGTCTTGTTAGTGATGTCCAAAATATTTTTTTTTGGACATCGCTAATATGTAAATAGTCGTTCAATTTGTCTCGCGTTGTTACTTTTTTTACGTATTCCGCTTGCTGTAAATACTATTCTGCTTGCTCTAACTATCATTTTTTTTCTTCATTTATTTGCTTATATTTTGCCGTATATTTTTAGTTAGTGAAATTGCTTGCTGTAGATAGTGTGGCTATGACGTAGAATGTCGCGCCTTGTTACACTTACGTCACGGTACCGTAAGAGCAACAATGCACGACATAACGTGCCAGCTTAATCGCAAACGTCCTATCCCGACATCCCATCCTTTGGAAATGTAAACAATTATATCATTTTTCCATTTTTATGGCTCGTGTGTGTATTAATAAAAATTAATGCATTCACGAGTTAGTTTTTCATTATATTGTAATTTCATTACATTAATAAAAACATTTTAATATACGGCATGTGATAATGTTACAAAGAAATAACAATTTTTTACATTTCCCTCCTGATGGAAGTGACCACCACCTTCCCGTGGTTTCCATTGAACGGTAGCGTGCACGTTATTCCTTTACCTATCGTTACAATTATTTTGTTATGTAAAGTTAAGTCAAATATATAACATTTGATTGTGTGTAACAATTTGATACGGTTATTAAAAAACATAGTGGGAAAAGTCAGTAGTAATCTATTTCTGTAGCGTGCACGGTACTGGCTAAGAGTGGTTTTTCATTTTAATTAACCCTTTACGAGTAAGACTGCTTTGAAC